GAATATTCAACTGATATATATAATAAATTAACACGTACGAATAGTACCGGGCAATTGCAAAATCCAGATATAACTAATGAACAAGAAAGTACACATGAAATCGAACGTCTTCTTCGTCATATGGTACGTAAAGTTGAAAAACAAATCTATAAACTAAATAATGAGAATAAGAAACTTGATACAACAATAACACCAGCGACAACAACAACAATATTAACAAAAACAATGTTACAGTCAATGAATCATTTGGAAAAATCAATAACATTATATAAAATATTTTTTCATCGTTTCATAATAACATTTTTAATTGACATGAATCAAATATCTATGAATGAAAAATTTCAAAATATTTATTCAATTACACAAAAGAAAACAAATGAAAATATTCGTGCACTTTTTAATCATTATCATCAACAAAATGAACTTCAATTGAAATTAAATGAAAATGTTGATCATTATAAACGTGCATTTGATGATTGTTGTAAATTACTCATTGAATTTTGTTGTTTTCCAAGACAATCATCTATAACTGATCAATCAAAATTATCAAAAGGTATTCAATTAGAGATTGACAAAAGAATAGAAATAGATGAAAAAAAATAATCAGTAACTACATCATGTAATTACTATCTTCTTTAGTCTTTTCATGTATATGTTAGACTAACACTTGAATTATATGCTTCAGTAATCTTTGAACATTATAAATCAATTAGACGTTTTGTATAATTGATATGCGAATATTATTTTTCTATAAGAATTAATAGTTCTCAAAAAAATTATTTAATAAAGAAATCATGAATGCAAAAATATAGATCTTATAGTCATTTTCGATCAAAGTAAAATGATTACTAGATGACACTTGAAGATGAATAGAATCAATTTATTATATTAGAAAAAATTTCTAAGGAAGGGTGATTATTAAAAGCTAAATTTATTGATAAGTCTTGACTTTCTTTCATTAAGATTAATAAATTATCCATAAAACTTAAAATCAATTTATAAAAAAACATTTAAATATAATTAATCTATAAAACCTATTGATTTCGATTCTCAATGGATTTGAAACTAAAATTATTATTCCATTATATGATTAACATTGGCACTAAGCAATATACAAAAAGTCTTAAAATAAAAATATATTCTTCGATTAATGATTAAGAAAGTCATTTGTAATTTTCTTCAGAGTACATAAGAATGTTAGACTGAATGTACATGTCTAGACTTTATAACTCCTTTCAACTTCTATAGAAAAATCCAAAGATTTTAGTTAAGGTTATATTTGTGTGACATATATAGATCATGTTCTAAACAAATAAAAAAACGTTTCTTCTTTAGGTAAAACTGAATTTGATGATTGGTCTATTGATTTATGTGTATTGTCTGTTTGTGAAAGTGGACATTTCTATATTCAAACAACAGCTATATCTGTCTTGATTGAATTACTTGGTTATACATTATATCTTTGTAATACAAAATCTTCTAATACTTCAAATGAAATATTAATTGGAACAAGTTTAAATTTACCTGATAACATATCAATAATTCCATCATTTAATCAAGAACAAGTTTCATTACTTATTAATGAAACACTTTTTTTCCAACATATAACTGCTTATTTATGGGAACATTTAAGTGATAAATATGAACGACAATATAATTTAAAATCAGCACGTATATTATCAATGCTTCATTCAATGTTACCAAATTGTGATTGTGAAGATTTAATATGTAATCAATTATCATCAACACATACTCATCAATATGAAAATGAATTTATTATTATTGATGCTTATAAACGTTTTTTTAAATTATGGAATTCAACACGTGATATATCAATTGTTACATATGGACATGTAAATAAAACATTTGAACGTTGTTTACTTATTGTTATAGGTATTCTTAATGAATCAAATAATCATTGTTTAAAATCAATTGTACAGCAATGGACATGTGATTGTTTTATTCATAGTAAATATATGAAACTTTTTTTTTTTTAAATAAAATAATTTCTTTATTCTTTCTAGGAGATATGTACAGAATATTTGATATAATACTTATAATATTATTAAGTCCAGATACAGCACGTATTAGTATACAAAAACTTCATCCAATAGTTCATAAAGAATATTTTTCTAATCGACAAATAAATTCAAATGATCAAATAGCAATGAATACAAATTATCAAGCACAAGAAAGTATAATTAGTACTGATACAGATGATATGAGTGTTGGAGACATAAATGAAATAACATTTTCGGTATTAATTGACGATGATGGTGGTGGTGGTGGAGAAGATGAAGTTGATAATGATGATGATGACGATGATGATGGAGATTATGATGATGATGATGGTGGTGAACAAGAAGAAAGTGATGAAGAAAAACGAGTAAATTTCTTTTCTTTTTTTTTCTAAATAATAATTTATTTTTTTTGTAAATAGATATGTGCTATAAGTTGTACTGATACAGGTGAAGTTGTTTATCATTTAAAACAATCATCACCTCAACCAATGAAATCTAATACAATAAAACCTCCAACAACATTAAGTCTTTCACAACCAAGTCTTTCAAATAGTCGATCTGTATCACCAATAACAACAACATCTTCATTATCAAAATCAGTTAAACGACGTGCACCAACAATGCCAACAGTTTTTAGTCGAAATAATAGTGGAATAGAATCGAATAGTACAAAAAGTAGTAATAATAATATACAACGAATGTATACATCACTTCATGAAGAAACATCAAATGAAACTGATTCTTTAACTGATACACAACTAATAAATACAACAATAAATTCAACAATCAATAATAATACTCGTCGTCCACATTCAGTGGGTCCTATTCCACATGCTGTTACACTTGATGGTATATCTGATCCATCTATAAGTCCATTGAAATCTTTAAATGAATCTGAAACAATCCCAATGAATAATAATTCAACAAAAAAATCTGATTTAATTGATCGTTCACGTAAAATTGATATACATCTTGCTTATTTTCTATTATATAGTCAACCCTATGATTATAATCGTGTTACATTTGCATTAAATATAATTGAAAGTTTAATTGATTTAATCCCACAACAATTAATTCATACATTATTAATAACAACAAATCAACAATCATCACCAATAAATATGCATAATACTCGTTTACATGAACTATCATTAAGACATCGTCGTGCAATAGAAGGAAAAAATTTCTATTCCTATGTTGATAATTTATTAAATAATCAACATCAATCTTATTTATATACATTAATAAATATTCTATTAATTTATACACGTAGTTATTATTCGAAATCATTTGAACATCGTTTAAATGTACATGATATGCAAGGAAATCGTAAAGTACATATACGTTCATTAACATTATTAAAACGTATTTGTCATGATATATCATATATATGTATGGAAAATATTCATACAAATTTACAATTAATTAATTATATATATGATTTATTTCAAAAATTATCATTTCAAAAAACAATTCTACATTTATTTAATACGATTATTGAAAAAATTAATCATAAAACACGTTTAATTAAAAGTAAAACATTAACAAAGACTATATATGATTATAATATTGAACCAATATATAATGAATTAACACGACAATATTTAAGAGAATTAGTTGAATTATTAGAAGAAATTATTTTATTAGAAAATATTCTTCAATATTATCAACATCGTGCTGATTTAAATTCAAATCAAACACCAATACAAACATTTGCATCGAATATTCTTGCATCAATAACATCAAATAATATTAATTTAAAAACAACTGAATATTCAAATTTATCATTGTTTCAATTTCGTCATAGTTCAGATATTGATTTTATTAATTTAATAACGAAAAATACACAAATGAATTCAACAACAAATCCATTACGTTATATTGATAATCAACCAATTGTCAATCAAAGTCTTTTTCTTTCATCAATATTACAATATTTAAAACAAATTGATTTCATTGAAAATCATCGTCATATTATAAGTTTAGTTGTTCGAATTTTACCACATTGTGGTTCATCATTAAAATCAATAAGTAGTTTAGTTATTGAACAAATTTGTCGAAATTTATGTTTTGTTGTTCAAACACATAATCAACAACAACAACAACAACAAGGAAATAAAATTAGATTCAAGTAAGAATTTTGGAATAAAATTAAGCTAAATCTATTAAGAAATTAGACTAATGAAAGCAAAAAATATTCAGGAATTTTAATGTATTCAATAACAAGAAATTCCATAATGTCATATAATCTAGAACCTTGACTATCGGAATTCTGTTACCTCTAAGAAGGTCATAACATTTGACATGTTGTTATTATATATTCAAGAGCACACACTTATATCTAAATAGACCTATGATATAGCTATTTTTATTGCTTTTAATAATAGTAATAGTAGAATATTATCGGTTATAAAGTAATAATTAGACCGGACTATGAATATTAAAATCATCGTTTACAGGATACAAATCATAATGTTTTTCATGAAATTAAAAATAAATCATCATTATTTGAACCACTAAAAAAAAAGAAATTATTACAAATGATAATGTAGAAAGCGATGTCGGCATCATTATTTTTGTTTAGAAATGATTTGTCATCTTCATATATAAGTTATATTGTTGACGAAAACTAGATATATTGAGTTTATTATTTAAATCGAGTAAATATTTGCTATATTAAGTAGATAAAGTAATAGTTATTTGAACTTCGAAACTATGATTTGATTATTACAAAAAATCAGCACTATAAAATTATTTATCTAATGATTCCTAATGCACTTGATGCACTACTTAGAATAAAAATAGATTCATCGCCTGATATATTTTCTATTTCATGAATAATATGTGATACTATTGTTAAAAGACAATCGTAGAATCTTTCTTTCTAAAAATATTTATTTATAGACAATTACCTTATTTCGATGTCATGGAATATATTGTTCATTTAATTGAACGTCTTTCATATATATGTAATTATTGTATTCTCGGTAATGCTCTTGGTTATGAACAATTTTCAACACAAACACTTAGTCCGCAACATTGGATGAAAACTGTAAAATGATTTGATTGTTTTTCTTTTTTGTTTATTGAACTTTTCCTTATTTTAGATTACAATTAATGAACGTGATTTATCTGATGCACGTCAATCGATTCTTAATCAACTTCCATCTATACTTTCAAGTATTCTATTTATTTGGAAAACAATATCAGAACAATTCTTATTTGATAATACAATTGATCAATCTATTCTAACAACATTACCAATTCATTCATCAACAAATCATCTTTGGCCAGTTTATAATGTTAGACAAATTCGTCAAACAATTCTTAATTTTCTTTCAACATTAACGAAATCCAATGGTGTTTCATTTATTAGTGCTGTTGCACAATGTTGGGGTGAACGTAAACGTCAATTACGTACACAACAAAAAGTTCCACCTACGCAATCAACAGTTGATACATTATCACGAACAACAATATTAACAATGCCAAGAGATAATCTCGGTGAAACACAAGCTTTAATTGATATTGTTATGAATATAAATGGATATACAATTAATGATATGATACCAAATATGAATGAACTTATACGTAATCAATTAACAGCAAGAGACAAGGTAAATATTAAGAAAAGAATGTTCAAAAAGTTTATCTTGTTTAGATTAGTTCTTACAGTTATCGGCACTTTATAATATGAAAGTTTTTCATAGACAAGGGGTATATTCTCTAATCTTATATATATACATATGTAAATCATCTTCTTGGTTTTCTAATTAATTCTTTATAAGCTTTTTTTTCTTGCTTTTTCATTAAATCGAAATTCATTTTGAATAAATTTATTTTAGAAAAAACAAAATTATGATGTATGGTGTCTTCAATTTCTCTTAGCTTATCTTCAACATGAAAAATGTGCATCTATTGATTGTTGGCCAACATTAGCATTTATGTTTAAAGAATGTTTAGCCCAATCAATATCACCACCAGCAACATTTTTAATGATAAGGTTTTTATATAAAAATAAACCTTTTATTTTAAATTCGATTTTTTGTCTGTTTTAGAATTTTAAGTTTCTATATCAAACAATCATCATCGCTTGTAGAAAGAAGAGATTTAAAAGACTTACAAGTATAAATAAATTTAATTAAAATCAAAAAATAATCTGTATGTTTTCATATAGGATATAACAATGCGAGTACTTGATAATTGTAATACTATAGTTGCTTCATCACTTGAACAAACAACATGGTTAAGAAAGAATTTACAAGTACGTGTTGCACAACCAGATAATCAATCAACTAAAAGTGGATCAACTAGTAATCAAACTACACCACTAGGTACTAATTCATCAAATGGACCTGAAACGATTCCTGGTGATGATCCTGCAGATTTTGATGGTTAGTAATAAATAAATAAACCCTAACAGAAAATCACATATAGAAGCCCATGACATATATTTAGTACGTGATACATTGACGACGGTAGTAAATATATTCGACAAATTTTCATCTAAAATTGTATCTCAAAGAGGTATTCGTGCTTTTCTTTCTACTAATTAAACTAATCCTATCATATATTTTGAAATATATACTAGCAAATATTTCAGAATAACGAATTCAATGGTTTTCTATTGGATGAGTGATTTTGATTACTAAATATATTTTCAACATGAAGTTTATATAAACTAAAACTATGCTTGAATTTTTAATAGAAAAATCATCAAGATCTATGTATAAAAGTCTTGTATCTAAGACTACTACTCATATTATCTATTAGCATTTCCTTATCCTATACTAGAAAAATCTATTTTATAATTAATATCACAGGTAACGATCAATTAAGGGTGCCTATACAACTAATATTTCATACTAGACTATGCTTTAACATATTTTCATGATAAAAAAAAATCTATTTTAATTTAAATATTAATTAGGTGTAACACAAGCAATAAATACATCAGATCTAACAATCAATGGCAATTATAGTTTTCTTGCATTATCTGTACTTGCTGAACATGCTGCAACTTTACTGGATATTGTTTATAATCGAACTGATGAAAAAGATCGTGTTGTAATACCATTTCTACAAAATCTTGTAACAAATGTTATGCCATATGTTCGTACACATGTTTCATCAAATGCTCCATCATATCGTTCAGCGTCAGCTTTACTTATGAATATATCTCAATATTCTTATACACGTAAAGCATGGAAAAAAGAAGCATTTGAACAATTATTTGATGTTGCATTTTTTCAACTTGATATTATTGCATTACGTTCATGGAAAATAATTGTTGATAATATGATAACAAATGAAAGACCAACATCATTTCGTGATGTTATGACAAAAATTAATACTGTACAAACCGGTTTATTTGTATCAAAAGAACATGAATATGAACAACGTGCAATGCTTGTTAAACGTTTTGCATTTGTTATATATGCATCAGAAAAAGATCAATATAATCGACAATTACCTGAAATACTTGAACGTATTGCTGATTTACTTAAATTACCACAAGCACCAATATTACATACGCAAATGTTTTTATTTTTACGTGTATTATTATTAAGAATCTCAACGAAAAATTTACTTTCATTATGGCCTATACTTATGGCGGAACTTATACAAGTTTTATTACAACTTGAACAAGATCTTTCATCTGATCTTGAAGGTGAAACAAAGTAAGTTTTTATTAATTTTTTGAATATAAAAACAAATAATTTGATCTCTTGTTTTATAGATCTCATGTTCAACGAATGGTAACTAATGATTTAGCTACAACAAATGTTACAAGTTCAAATCCTGCATTAAAAATGTATTTATACGCATGTAAATTACTCGATGTTTTATTAGCAATGCCTTATTCTGAATTACATCATTTTCAACTGTAATATTATTTATTTTCAGTATTTTTTTTAGAATTTATTTTCTTTTTTTTTTAGTTTCCGTTCTGCATTTGTTACTGATGAAGATACTAATGATCGTAAACCTCCAATGGATACATTTATTGCATTTTCAATACGTTTATGTAAACTTCTCGAGAGAAAATTACAAACAATACCAGCATCGATGCGTGATCGTCTTCCTGTAATAAAAACTTCAACACGTCCATTACTTCGTTTACGTACAATAACAAATATTATTGAATTATATCCATTTTTTAATTGTTTAACACGTATGCATACATATGATCATCATCATTATCAACATTCATTACCCACTCATACAAATACATTCAATAAACAAATCTCATTATCTAAAACAAAAGATTCATCAAAAAAGAAAAGTAAATCTCTTATACATACATCATCATATAGAAAATCTGAATCTTCAACAATGAATTCCATAAAAGAAGAAACAATGAGTGAAATTGAAACAAGTGTACTTGAAGATTTTGTTGAATCATGGATATAGGAAACAAACAAATGTCTTTAATAAGTTTATTTCTTCTCATTTTATTCTGTTGATTTAAACATAACAATGTGCCAAAATATTTATATTTATTTTATTTTTTCTTCTTCTTCTTCTTCTTACCTTTCCGTTTAACCAAAGAACAGTTTGTTAGTTCACATCTCTTTCTGTTTATCTTTGTTATTAATTCTGGAATGTTTCAAAAGATCTCTCTCTCTTTTTTCTGTTCTTTTTCCTGTTATTATTCATAAAAATAAAAAACAAATAAATTAACAAACTTTATTAATGTTACATGCGCTTGTTTGTTGTAAATAAAAGGAAAACAAATATACAAATCCTTCTTATTTCAGATGATGAATTCAAAAACATTCTTACCAATATGTTTTGGTGTATTAATTTTATGGATGCTGATTGTATTAGGTCTATTTCCAATTAGTTTACCAACATTTTTATATAAAATTATTGTTGTTATTCCATTTATTGGGATTATGTTATTTGGTTTTTATTCATTATTTTATTTAATATATAAGGTTATTAATCTCAAAGATTGTCCTCAAGCAAGAATTGATTTAGACCGTGAAGTTGAACGTATTCAAAATGATGCACGTTATAAATCTTTATTTGTTAAACCAAAAGATCAATAAAAAAAGAGTTCGTATAGAAATGTGCTTGTGTGATTCGTATTTTTATTGTTACATCATCCGTTCTTTTTTTCTACGTCGAATAAAACAACACAGTCACACTCATGATGACTAAGCATATTTTTTTATTTGTTCGTTTTATATATATATACGTGTGTAAATGAGCAAGGAAGAAAGAATATATAGATCATGCAAAGATAGTGATGTGGAACAGGTGATGAATTTATTTGCTTCCTGAGAGAAAATATTTTCTTATTTTTATATTAGGTGATTAGCAAGAGTAATTGCTTTTTTTTCTGTTAGTGAAAGATGTTAAAAAATATTTTTCCTTAAAAATATGATTTTGTCATCTTTCAAAGTAAGTTATCATGAGAAAACCCAGACATATCACTTTTCATTATAATTTCTGTTTTTGATTGACACTGATAAAAGTTTTATATTAACTATTAAATATTTTTCTTCCTTTTTCTAGATTATAGAAAAGTAATTATAAAAAAAAAAGAGAAGTATTTTAACTGAATTGTTGTATGTTACGCGCTCTTCGTATTATTCGAACTAAAGTTAGATTTGTACCCGCACCGTACTTTTCCACTATGCAGACAACAGCTGAAAATATTAACAAACCTTCATCAACAAGACCTTCGTCTAGCAATAAAGCATCATATGCTCCACAAAATCTTCCGGTTTATGATTATGATCTTGTTGTTGTTGGTGGTGGTTCTGGAGGTAAAACAAACAAATAATAAATAATATTTATTCGTTTTTTCTATAATATTTAGGCCTCGCAGCAGCTAAAGAAGCAGCAAAACTAAATAAAAAAGCTAAAGTAATTTATTTTCAAAATAAGAAACTAATTATTTTATTTTATAATCTATGATTTTACTTTTAAGGTAGCTTGCTTTGATTTAGTTACTCCAACATATCATGGAACTAAATGGGGCCTTGGTGGTAAATAATTCTTTATAGAATTTTATTTTATTTTTTCTTCTCTTTTTAGGTACATGTGTAAATGTTGGTGTAAGTATGATATTTTATTAATGAATATCATCTAATATATATCTTCTTGAAGTGTGTTCCAAAAAAATTAATGCATTATGCTGGTGGTATTGGTAATATTCTTCATCGTGATGCAGCTGAATTTGGTTGGCAAAATGTTGATAATGGTAAACATGATTGGGCAACAATGCAAACATTAATTGGAAATTATATCAAATCTCTTAATTTTTCCTATAAAGTACAACTTCGCTCAGCAAATGTTACATATTTAGATGGTTTAGCTCATTTTATTGATCAACATACTATTGAATGGAAGGTAAATCATATAGAATTTTAAAGAAATCATATGTTTTTTTTTCTGTTAGAGTTTAACAAAAAGTGGTCGCTTAACATTTGATAAAGCTATTATAGCAGTTGGTGGACGACCGACTTATGGTGATTTTCCCGGTCGAGAATTATGTATTAGCTCCGATGATATATTTTGGTTAAAAAAAAATCCCGGTAAAACACTTATTATTGGTGCTGGTTATATTGCCCTTGAATGTGCATCATTTCTTCATCATATTGGTAATGATGTAACTGTCATGATACGTTCAAGACCATTACGTACAATGGATCATCAATGTGGTGAAATGATATGTGAATTAATGGAACGTGATGGAGTGAAATTTATAATGCCAGCTAATCCACGTTCATTTTGTGCTTTAGAAAAGCCAGAGAAATTAGAGAATGCAAAAGAAATTCGACCAGGTGTTTGGGAACATGGAAAAGATGCTAAAGGAAACGAACAATATTTACATGGATCTGGTGTTATTGAAGTAAAACATGCAGATGGAAAAACAACATGGATTCAGCCAAAAGGAGAAATTGAGGTTAAATATGAATATGCTGATCATCAACGTAAAGGAAAAATTCATTCCGAAAGTTTTGATACAGGTAAATATTATTTTTGAAATTAAACGTAACAAAATATATTATATTTATATGTTTTTAAGTTTTATTGGCTATTGGTCGAACAGCTAATATTGCAGGTCTTGGCCTTGATCAAATTGGTGTACATGTTGTTAATGGAAAAGTTCTTGTTGATGAAACAGAACAAACTAATTTACCACATATTTATGCTTTGGGTGATGTAGCCACTGGTAATGAACGAAAAGTTTATTTTTCTAAAATTCCATATAGAATAATATAATATTTTGAGGACTTTCAAGGACATGTCATTATAAGTATTAAGATAATTCTTACTCTTCATATTTAAGTGGAATTTGACATTTCCTTTAATAATCATCAACATATATTATCTATATAGAGATTTGTCAATGGTATAATTATTTATAAGTTAAATATTTCTTTAGGTGTTATTAAACATGGTAAAGATTTACAACATCAAGCTCAAGTAACTATTGAACGACCTGAATTAACACCTGTTGCTATTCAAGCTGGTCAATATTTAGCACGACGTCTATGGAATCTTTCGAATCAATTAATGAATTATCGAAGTATTCCATCAACTGTATTTACAAGTCCATCTGAATATGGTTTTGTTGGTCTTCATGAAGAACAAGCAATGCAATCACGAGAAGGTTTGTTTCTTTTTTTTTCTAAATATGATAATTTTCTTGTTCTAGATGGAGGTATTGGTAAGGAGAATGTTCGAGTTTATTGGTCAAGATATGGAAATCTTGAAATATCTCCCATACATCCACATATAAAACCAACACGTAGTGACTGTTTCGTTGGAAAAAATTCTTGGACACAACAATATGCATTAAAAAATAATGTTGATTGGCCTGAAGCAACATATGATTTAGAAAACTCGAATTATGTTTTATTTAGTGATGATATTGGTGGCCAAAAACGTACAGCTGCACGTGTCATAAAGAAATACCGTAATGAACAAGCAAAAAATAAAATAACATATGATATTGAAATTCAGAATGAAGAAAAAACCATTGTTGAAGGTGTTACTGGTGAACAATTAGAATTACAAGAAGAACAAGAATTAGAAAAAGGAGAAGTATTTTACAAAGCAAATTGTTTAGCTAAATTAATTTGTGACAAAAGTCAAAATGATCGAGTGGTTGGTTTTCATTATATGGGACCAAATGCTGGTGAAGTTACACAAGGTTTTGCATTAGCTATTATGATGGGTGCAACAAAACAACAATTTGATGATCTCGTTGGTATTCATCCAACTGCAGCAGAAGAATTTACTGTATTAGGTGTAACTAAAGAATCGGAATCGACATTATTGAAAGCAGCTGGTTGTGGTGGAGGCTCATGCGGTTAATAAGTTCAAAGGACTTGTTTACAATGATCAGAAACTGAATATTCTTGTACTTTTTTCTTTGTTTGTCATAGATTAATTAATCATGCTACATCTGTACTGAGAAAAAGATTATATATATATATAAATATAAGTATTAATAAAAGAAATATGAATATGTGGTTTCTATTTTTACCAACCGACAAAACAAACAAACGAAGAGGTCGTTTTACTAAGAAGATTAATAAATATGTAGGCGGTTAAAATATTTGTTTAATGTGATGTAAATCATGTTTTTAAATGAAAGATGAGTGTCTAAATACAAAATAAGAATACATAGATTGTATCTTTTATCTCGAATCATTGTTGCGGAAGGAAATTTAAATATTTCCTTTAGAACGCTTTATTTATTGCGTAGATACATATATTTATCCTCTATCAATAGATTATAATCTTTGTTGAATTGTTTCTATTTTTGTAATAATAATCCTAAAATATTGAAATTAATTCTCGTCTATCAAAATGATCTTCCGAATAGTTAACTAATAGCTAGTTTTATCATGTATAGATTATTTAAGTAACAATAGTACATGTTTATTATATCCGAGATGAATAACAAAATTACACTTGAATTAATTGATTCTATTTAACAAATAATATTTATAAAACAATACTGTTTTTCAAGGTCAAAAACCGTTTTTATATTTCCTTGGTAAATTGCTCATTCTATCGTTGTATTCCCTTAAGGTTATAGATCACTATTATAATTCCTCAGATAATTGTGAGTCAAAAAAAATAAAAATAGATCATTCAACTAAATGATCAGATCAGAAGCAAAAATATAATTAACTCATAGAATCTTTTTTTTTCCTATTCAAAATATATATATATATATCTATTTATTTATTTTTATTAATATGTGCATACAATTAGGAATGTATATAGTGTTTTAACTATTGATCTTGTCTTTTTCTATTTCTAAAGATTAGCAACAGGACTTTCATCGGCAACTGCAGCACCAACCGGATTAACAATAACACCACCATTTGTATATTCAGGTGTTCGACTTAATCGTCTCATAATAAGACGCATGATTGAAACGTTTTGTTGTTGCATATTATCATATAATGATTGCCGTCGATAATGATAACTTTGATATTTTTCATGTGGTAATAAACATAAAAAAACTAAACCTTTTAATTCATCACGAAATAATTTTGATGAACATGAATAAAGAAAAAAATTTGCCATATAATTTATATTTCGTATTGTAAATGTTATTGTACGCCATGTTAATTTATTTTTTAACCATAGACAATCACCGGTTTGATCGAGTGCTTCATAATAAATCCACCAACATTGAAATGGTAATGTACACAGTAAATGAACAAGACAAACAAGTGTTAATGTAACTGTTATTGATGATGTTAATTCAACAATACCACGTTGACATAAACGATAAATAACAGTTGAATTTAATAATAATACAAAAATGAAAGGAAGAAAATAATTTATTACAACTGATACCATTCCCATTGTATCATAAAGACTATCATCATAAACACCACATTTAGAATAATGTATTAATGTATGATTGTCTGAAGATGTTTGCAATGGTTGCCAACTAAGAAAATTTTCTGATGTATTTCTATAAATACGAAAAATAATTTTTTTTAACCAAAAAAATCGATTTAACAAACTTTAAAGAATTTTTAATTGTTGATGTATATGTTAAATTCGGTGCTCGAGTTTTAATAACTATTTTAACAACAAATATAAACCATGTAGATAAGATTGTCGATATAAAAAGTATTCCAAGTACAAGAAAAAAGATTTTTCGATGGGTAAATAATATTTTATTATGATGTGGTAACCATACAGCACAAAATCGTTCAAATGCAATACAAACCATAAGCCAACTTGAACAACATGTAAAAGCTAAGTCAAAAAAACCTAGAAAAAAAAGAAAAGATATATTATTTAAATAAGAAGAATTAGTTAATACCATGTGTTCGACACCAGAATGGTGATGCATCTGTTAATTCTCGTTTTAATAGAGTTTCAAGCCATAAAAGTGAAACAGGTATAAGAAGTACTAATGAATCGACAATAGCTAATGCAATAGTTAAAATTGATACAGATTGTCTTTTAAGATCTGTCATAATGAAAACACATATTGTAAGAATATTTCCAAGTAATCCAACACTAATTATTATTGGTGTTAGATGGATAAATAATTTTTGTGTTGATGTACCATCGAGTAATTCAAATTCTTTTAATGTACAAGATGTTGTCATTTTGTCCTTTTATATTTCTACAAATATACGCTATAGTATAGATCAATCAAGATATAGAAAAGCCTCATTAGGTAAGACAGACATAAGTATAGCGTCAATAAATATAGACTACAAAGCGATAGTTACTATTGGAAGGAATAAATGTCAGCATATTGAAGGGAAAACGTGTGGACATTATTATTCTCTTTTCTATCTCGTTTAATTAATTTGAGAATAATGACCGCTATTCTTATACAGAGTGCACTGATGAGCTTTACCGATATATATATATACTAGGGTGAAAGGTTAAACAAATCTCTAGAGATTGAAACAATTCTTCTACTTTAGTATCCTCTTACGTAGTAAATGTGTTAACCGAAGCAAGTAAAGAAACTAATGAAAAGCATTAAAAAAATTGATGGAAAGTATATAGACTTACATTGATAATAAAATATAAAATTCAATTCAATTCAAAACAAAAACAAAAAAAATTATGATTTTTCTTTTAATAGTCTTACACATGGTTATATGTGACACTGATGAATATACATTATGGTTTTTCTTTTTTACTAATAATAAATGACTATTTGAGAAGTTGTTTTTTTTCCTGATAATCTCAATCGGTGGTTAGATTAAAATTTAAAAATAGAATAGAAAACGATATTTTAGTTCTTTTTACCTCGATCGGAAAAACAACAACCAAACGAATATATGCATACACTCGGTGATATTAATTCATGACAAGAGAATTTACTGTCATTTCAACTGTGTTTTGCAACATATGCAATGGTATATAAGAAGAGATGAGAGAGAAGCGACCGATGACAGATCTTTATTGTTGTCTGTGACAGAAAAATAACACCAGATACGTATATAATCGAAATTATTGATAGAGATATACTTGATTCAACACTATTAAATAGACTATGTCACACTATCATGACGAACTTATATCATTATTATTATTTTCTGTCTTAATATTAATAGAAATACATAAAAATAACAAAATATAACAAGTAAATGTACTTCTCTTTTATCGTAATACCGTTGTCATTATCAGTAGCAGTAACTTTGATGATATATGTCCACGTTCTTGCGATTTTTCCAGATTGAATTTGCTTCTTTTTTCTCCTTCTTCTTCTTTTTCTTCGTCTCTCTTTCGTCGTTGTCTCTCGTCTTTCTGTATTATTATATTTTCTTTTTCTCTCTTTCTCTACACTAAAGCGTTTTTGCTCTCAACATAGAATAATATATCGACAAGAGAAGAAAAAAATGAAGAAAGAAAAAACTCTAGACTGTCCAGAAGATCGATAGAGACCATATGTAAGTTTCACATAAAAGAGTACTTATGACAGACTAAGTGATTAGATAAACAATAATATACAATACTTTGAAATTTTCTCGACAGTCATGATTTCATATTGTTTCCTGTAGTGTTTGTGCGTATATATATACAATAGTCAATCTATAGTTGATTGTAAAAAACAACTGACAATATATACAAGATTTCCTTGTGTTTTTGGCAGAACTGTCATTTAAGAATTACAAATAAACAAAAAGAAAATATACAAATCGAACATCATAATCTATCGATGCGACTGTTCCATGGGAAAACTTCTTACACATAGAGAGAAACGATAAAAATAGATATATCAAATATACATATGCAAAAACTCTCGGTTATTAATATATATCTATATATATTATTTTTTGTCTTTGTTTCATTTTGTACAATATACATTCCTATGATATTAGCACCATCTATTATACACTGTATACGCATGCATATATTTCTAATCTAAATGTGTTGAAATCACATCAAGTGAAATCTATTATGCCAAAGGGAACAATGTGAAGGATAATCATAATGTTTTTCTTCTTTGTTTCGAAACACAAAACAATATTCTCAATACAAGAATGAGAACAATACACTATCGTAAATCGATGACTTTCGCTCTCTTGAGAAAACTACATGTATATAGGATAATTTGAAACAATTTTTTTTCCTTTTGACATACTTCTTTATGAATACAAAGAATGGCTCCGAGAAAAAAAGTCTCATTAAAATATAATTTTTATTCAATATATACAGTACATCTTCTTGCTCAATGAGAAACAAGATCTTTCTGACACATCCTATTGTAAATAACTAGCAGATAATATAAAGGTAACATCCATGGAATAGGCATTAAGCCGCAAGGTATTGTCCAAGAAATAAGTATTAGCAAATTTCCTAAATAAAAGAAAGGAAATCATCATAAATATATATTCAAGTAAACATATACCAAGATAATATGGATGTCGACATAAAGTCCAATAGTTCGATATCAATGAAATCAATCCATATGATTTAGTATTCTTCTTAGAAGATATTTCTTGTTGATAATGAATACTTCGACGAGAGATAAACATACCAAGTAAAAAAAGTATAACTGATACAATTATATATAATCGTTTGATCGGATAATTAACAAGAATCAAATATTGCGATGGTAAACACCTAATTAAATATCCAGAAAAAAGAAATGTATCTATAAGACTTGAAAAAAAACTATGTTGATATACCAGAGAAAAGGAAACCAACAAAGAGAACCGAATATATGTATAAATCCGATTGTTTCTTTTTTAGTGTTATTATTTCTAAGACGAATATCTTCATACCATATTAATTGCAAAGCTTGTAAAATTTGTTGAATAACAACAAGAACAAAAGCAGGTGGTCGACGATATGTATATAATTCGATTGTTTTAAGAAAAAAACAAAGATTTAAACATGCCCATCCAATTAAACCTATTCGTAATTCAAAAAATAACTTCAAATCAATACCAGTTATAGTTAAATTAATATCAGTGCCATAGAAAAATGCAACGATTGGATTTATTTGTTTTAAATAACGTGTTTCATTGCCTTTAATAAATAATAAAAGACCAATAAAATAAGAAACTATAATTGAAGCAACAAGAATTTTATGAATATTATCATAGATATATGATGCATGAATAATTTCGAACCAATTTAATATATAAACACCACCAAGAGAAAAAACAAAAGCTATTATTCCATTATGATGATAATATTGTTTTCTAATCAATGAGAAAAAAGCGGACTAAAAGAAGAATTTTATCAATAAATAATGAATAGTTTATGCTAACTTGAATGAGTAACCATCCGAGTACAATAGCTAAACAATCGACATCAAATATAAACATATCATGGACATGTTGAAATGATTCTACAATAGGATGTCTTAATGTACAAGTAATATTGAAGAAAAATAATAATAGAGGAAGAAATATTAAAAGAATAAATGCCAATAATGGAGAATGTCGACGTAAATTTTTATATATTTCATTATCAGCTAAATGATCTTTTAAACCATCAACACTATTATCATTTATCATAGTTATATCACTTTTAGACATTTTTATATAATTCTTTTTGGCGCTATCGTATTTCAAGATTATATCTTTGTTGAAATTAAAATATGTACTGACTACTATATTTCAAATCTTCATGATTGATAGATCGATGATTAGATGATAACTATAGTCCGATGGATAACGAAATTTACAGTCCTTTTATCTTACCAAAGAGTAACAATAAGTCTATTACATTAGCTGTAAAGTAGATCTATCATCAGATATACGAAGATAATAATTACGAGGAATGATTATTGTCTTACTGATATCCTTCGAAAGTTGATGATATATTAGTTAATATATCAACATACATACGGAAAATAATTCGATATCTCAAAAAACCAAATATTGTTTTGGTTTTAGTATATATAACAAAAATTCAAAATTTATTTTTCATCATTATCTCAATTAAATTCATTTTAATCAATTAGTAACTATTGTTATTTATTATGCGATAATAATGATAAATACCACATGACCATGAATACCTTAGAGAAGACATTACAATCAATACGTCATTATACATTATATATACAAATGTCAGTTTCGCTAGTATATAAAAACTCTATAATGCAATTAGCATTTTCTTTTCTTTTTGAATGCCATAAGGATGATATCGAAATGATTGAAGAAGATATAATTTAATCTATAAACAATATTATTGATGGAATATTAACAAAGTTAACCGTAACGATTAAAATCATATACTATCAGATTTTTAAAAAAGGCACTTAGATAAAATGCTCATAAATATTTTGCCCGATCACCAACGATTCCATTAACCCTTTCAGGACTGGTTTTGCTTTCACGATCAGTGTATTATTCTTAAACTATCTTTTTAAACACGACTCAAAAAAAGAAGCCTGAACCCCCTCCAGAGTAGGTGATACATATGTTGTACCACGGTCCTGAAAGGGTTAAAGTATATTTTAGTACATGTTTCGTCCGATTTGTTTTTATCAAATACTATTCTTAAATTTCTAGAATATGTTTACAATATATCTCTGGTTATATTCCCTCTATTGATATTTTGATTCAATACTTATTTTGTTTCATAAAAGCAATGACAAACAGGTTGTGCTTGAAATTTATATTTATTAATTATTATATTAAACTTCTTTCTTGGCGCTAGAATTATATTAATACAATTGAGTGATCAAATACAATATGATAGAAAAATAGCCTATCTTGTCACTTAGAATTAATTCATGAAAACTAAATCTAATATTAAAAGATAACAAAGAAGATGATAGGACGAAAAATGGAAGTATTATAGATATTTTTAAATGATGCTTTCAATGTGTAATATCCATTAAATGTTCACTATTCTACTCAAGCTGTCAAGCGGAAGTGTTTCTAACCATGAAAACACGCAATTTTATCAATTCCATTATAAAAATCTTAATTTTGTCCTAAGACAAGGTGAATTAAGCATGTTTTTGAGAAAAATAAAAATCCATTAATGTGCGTGGGAAAATGGGTCAATAAATATCAAATTGCACTTGAAAAATGATGACATTAAGAGTAAAACCTCGACAGATTTTATAAGAATAAAAAAGTGTATTTTAAAAAATATATATTTACAATCAAAATAAGTTTTGTTTTTCTCAACATATGTCTCAAGTATCGTTTTTTACCGATTACTAACTGATTGGTTTTCTTTTGAATATATGACAGATAATAAATCAAAATATGTCTAACGAATGCTGTCATTGAATATTGATATATATATAAATATTAAAAAAATCTGTTTTTAACTTATGATGATAAAATACATTTGTTGAAAGAAAACATATGGTCGAATTTTCAAAAAGATTTGTTTTTTTAAATCTACTATTATGTATAGAAGAAAATCTTATTTATGATAGATTTCGATACGTAATAAATATTAAATTAGATATACGCCATGATAAAGAACATTTTCAATGTCATATTAACTCATTTAGTGCTTAATTTTTTCTTTCGATTATAAATATCACAACAGTGACGCAGGCATGATACTCATTAAAAAGCTTTTTGTTCATAATCATGCGTAAAAACAGTTATCTTTTTTTAAAAAGCTTCCGATTATGCGTAGTACTCATTTAAAATAGAAAACTGACAATCTTATCTATTGAATACTAAGTCAGAGTATATTTTAAATAAAATATAGTAAACTACTTCTTTGTCATATTATTTTCTATAGATGCATTTTGTAGTTTTTTATGTTTTAATGATTTATGTAACTAGTATTAAGTTTTACTATATAATTTGAGCCGATAATAGTTATAATATAATAGACTTGCCCTATTAATTCTCATTGAACATACATTTGTTTTCTTCCATCAATCTAAGAGTTACCGAGTACTCGTACGTAGGGTACCCAGTATAACTTTCTATTTTTGGAGATATAATAAAAATTGATCTTTCTATTTCATTTAGTTATAGTTAAAATAAATGTCATTCTATAATAGATTGTTCAAAAGGCATATAATTCATGCACGCAAAGAACATTATAAGATTGTACAAAATTCTCTTAGAATAGATCCTACTGAGCAACACGATATTAACGGCGACTTCATAAAACTAGAACACTTCCGAACCTTTCAATTACATTAAAATGAAGTGTCTTTTATAAAGAGCTTATACGTCGGTATGTTTTTAACTGGTAAACATTTTTCTTCCACTTTTTTGAGCACGATTATGTACCCAATAATTGAAAAAGTACAGTTTGATAAATTGTTTTTTTCTTTGCCTCAGTCTTAAGATTTTCAATAAAAAAGATAAAAATAAATCTATTAAAATAGATACATGTACAGACATTATCCTAAGGCATTTTTTTGTATTTCAGGAACATGACCCAGCATCAGTAGTTAAAGTAAATATTGATTAAAAATGAATTATTCGTAAAAACAAAAAACTTCAATGTATTGAAATATTAATTTGTAATTAAATATAATGACAATTAATTTATCAGTAGATTGAATTAAAAGAAGAATGTACAACTATGTCTAAAAATAAATTTACCTAAAGTAATATTTTTTTTTATTATTATTATTTCCTTGGAGATGAATAGAATAATTACGTAGTCATCTTTATCATTTATCAATAGGAGATAAAACAGTTGAGAAAAAAACATTTATTAATAGATCAAATCATTAAAAATTTATTATTAAATATAAATTTTACTAATTCAACTTTAGAAAGTATTCAATAATATACAAAACGGTTAATTACGCCTCATGCTATTTTAATATTGATAATAAAGAGAAACTCTGAAACAAATTAAAAAATGACTAATATAGAAAGACTCAGTCTCATGCTTTACAAAAAAAGAAAATAAGCTTTAAAGTATAATACATCCTAATATTTCCTAAAAAAGATGATCATGTCATGTCTCTATTCATCATTTATATGACATTTTTGTAGTACATATATATGAAGTACTTGAGAGATTTTGTTAGACAAGTATTCAATTTAATTATTATCCTTCTCAAAATAAATCAAATCTTAGCTCTTCAAAGATAATATAATTCTATAATACCAGTAGACTCAATGACTCTATCAATTATGTTTTTACATCGTTTTATCTTTAATGTATATGTACTATAACACTTTTGCTCTGAACCTTTTATCAGTGTTTGTTTTTTATATCACTTTCATAAAACAAAACATATTTTTATAGGAATCATTTGAGTGTTATAAATAAATTATCTTCAAATGAGTAAAAATAATCTAATCTAATTTAATAAATTATCCTTATTAGATTAGATAAATACTATAAACAACAAAACATGATTTTTAATATACAGTATCATTTGATAATAGTTATGAAAGATACTTATTTCCATTTACACATGTTTTTTGTTAATCCATTATGTAAATAATTCCATTTGAAAAGTTCTGATCGGAATTATTTTTATCTTGATAATTGACATATTAGAAAAAGTATAACGACAACCAGGGTTTCATTTCTACATCTATTGCACTCAATTTATACTAGCACTTAACCAATAGACAACAAAATAAAGCAAGACAAATACACGTAGAAACACACAAATAAATATATGTATATTTATATATATATATAGGATGATGATTATAAACGAAAACAGATGTTTCATATGATCACCGGCATAGAATCAATAGAAAAAAATTGTTTAACTTCCGCTTGTTGCTGGTGATTGACCAATGGTTACATTATTTTGTGTTCCACTTTCTGTTGATATTGCATCTGGAGCCATACATCGATGCATTCGTATAGGACTTGGTTGTTGTTGAAAAAGACTTGAACTTTTTGCTCGATTTAAAACATAACAAATTGTTGTTATATTATTTGTTGATGAACGATGTGGAAAATCACTAACTGTACCCATGTCACCAGTACGACGTCGTTGGGTATTATTAACAAGACGACGTTTCGAAGAACAACATGATGTATTTGTCCAAAAGAATAAATAACGTTTATAAAAATGACGGAATGTTGATGAAAGAAAATAAAGTGCAAATGGATTGATACATGAATAAGTATAAGAAAAAATAAGTGCTAATGTTTTATTAAATTGCCAAAAATGATTCCAACGTGCTGAATAAACAATAACACCGATAAACCTATTGCACAATTAAATATGAAAAGACAATATTTTCGAGAAAAAATTAACTTACCAATATAAATCATGAATTTGTTTGGGTAACCAACATATAAAAAAGACACTACATAAAAAAAGTACAGTTTTAGCAACTTTATGTCGTGCTCGTAACTGTTTTCTCGTTTTTACATCTTTATATAATGCATGAATAGTCATATTATTATTAGTACTGTTATTTATAGATGAACTTCCTAATGAATGATTTCGTTGACGTCGTATATTACTTGTTAATGATGCTGATGAAGGCTTTTTTTGTAATGCGACAGAAGAATTATGTATATTTCTTAAATCTTCATTGTCAAGTGGTAATGATCGATTTGGAACTTTTTTCTTATAATTATTATTTAATTCATTTTGTCGGTCTTGTTCTTGATTATTACTATTTGATGATTGTATAGTTTGAGATGATCGTTTTGATAATTTAAATGCAATTTGTCCTCGTTTAGTATTATTTGTTACTTCATTAGCAAATGTTTGCGTTGTTTTTTGTGTTATAATAACACTTTTTGTTTGAAATAAATGTTTTGCAATAAGAATATAAAATACTGAAACAAATATAAGTGGCATTATATAATAAATAATAACACGCATAATTTGTCGGCTAATCATAAATTTATGATTTGCTAGTAGATCACTTTCATTTGGACTCCAACAATAGATCAGTTGAATTGTTTTGTTATTTGGTTGGTTATAAGTTTCCATAATTAGACCTAAAACAAAAAGAAAACGACTAAGAACATTTCTGATTTCTTTCAATCAACTCAAGAATACCACTTAACCCGTTTTCGAAGAAAAAAAAATCTCTTTTCTCAAGAGTATGATTGCAATCTTGTCGATACATTCATTCGGTTAACAATCTTTTATTTTCTGTTTTTATTCTATACTCAACTAACTTACCACTATAGAATGTTTCTGGTAATGCAAGAATCATTGATAAAAGCCAAATAGATATAACAACTGTTTTAAGTTTAATCGAAGGATCATTAGCATGACTTGAAAATGGTTTAACAATAATTTTATAACGATCAGCACTTAATGCTAATAAAGAAAATATTGAAACACCAAGTGAAAGATTAATAATAAAATTTTCAAAACGACAATAAAATGTTGAAAATGGATAATATTCTAATGAATAAGCAACAGCTCCAAATGGTACACAAAACAAAACAAATAAAAAATCTCCAAGTGCTAAACTAACAACAAGTAAATTTGGTACTGTACGTAAATTTTTTTGTCGAAATACAATAACTAAAAATAAAAATATTAATTGAAATAATAAGATCTTTAGGGTTTTTAAACTTACATATTAAAAGACCATTGCCAACAAGACCAATAATATAAACAAGAAGAAAAAGTGTCAATGCTACAGCACGATATAAAATTGACATGCTTTGTATTTCCAGTTCAATTGAGGTATGAAACCACAAAAGAATCGAATAATTCTTAAAAAAAGAAGGTAAAAAAACATAAATATTTGCGAATAAAATTATATATAGATATATATTGTTTTCCGTCTATGATTAATGTCACTAACAACATCTGCTTAGTTCATTTATATTGACAGTTGAGAAAGACAATTATACTAACTATAGATCTTAATTTCAACTTCGATATTTTTATTATTTTATGTTTTTTCTCATATAAGTATATCATTTATATAAAAAAAAAGTTCTTGTCTATGCTATCATTCTATCTTCTCTTTCTCTCTCTCTCTATCTTGTTTCTTCTCTTCTCTTTTTCTCTTCCTCTCTAAACTATTAGCATTAAACAGCGCATTTTTGTCTTTAGCAAAGAGAGAAAAAAAAACAAGGGAAAATTTGTTAATTTTCCAAATAGAAAAGTGACAAAATAATAACAAGTTATTTTTCTCTACAAATAGATCAAAATTATACTCTCAAAAGATTTGTAAATGTAGTGTGTATGCATGTGAGATAATAATAATTGACAATATTGTTCGTTTCTATTCTGACAGATGCTTGGCAGATGGTCATATTTTCTAAATTTCTTTCTTTTATATATTGCAAATTCGCACTTACCGCAGAGACTATAGTTAATTACAAGGTCCACTTATAATTCTGCAAAATTGAATAATTCATTGAAAAATACCAGAAAATTTAACCTTTAAATAATAAATTATATAATTATTATTTGAATAAAGATGGTATATGAGTATAAGTTGATATAGAATATTTTAATGATAAAAATCGTGTGAGAAAAAAAAAATTAACAAATAAATTACAAAAAATATGTCATGTAAAAATCCATTAAAATATATTGCTTTATCATAAAACATAAGAAATTATGTCATTATTGGAATTTATTCTCGATCATTCATCATCAACTGTGATTAGTAGTCGATTTTCTCACTTGAATTTTCTGTTGTAGATATGTTCGGAAAGACAATATGTCTTATTCCATACGATACAAAGAAATATAATGTCAATGATTTCTCTCGACATGATTGATTAGATTTTTTCAAATATCTTCATATTCTTTCTCTATCTTCTCGACCTCCTTTCGACAAATCAACACAAATCGATCTCTTTCATAATAGCACCTTCTTTAATCCGAACTCATTTGCTTTCCTTTCTCATGTCAAAGTTAGATAATAGAATAGGAAAAAAAAGATATATATATTTATGCCTATTGAAGAAAGCAGAAAACGAGCTTATCAACACAATTTGTCGATTTCTACTTGTCAGTCTTAAATGATTTTATCACAATAGTACGCAGAACTATTTTTCATATAACTGTAGTGATGAAAGAAAAAACATCCTGGAGAAAATTATGACATCTTAAGCATATTAAGTTATTTAAAGTATAATCACTTGTTTTTTTTGTAAATGAGATGTTTTTTTATATTTTACTTAGTTTTTTTTATCAACATTCTTATCTATATCCATTGGTAAACTTTTAAAACTTATTGGATTGTATAATCATTTTTTTGGCATATGTTTAACATAAAATATCATTTCTTGTCTCATTATTATACATCTGATTCTGACCTTATCTCATTTGATTATTGTTTAAAACTATCATCAAATCATTTCTCTTATACTTATTCATTAATGAGGCACAATATTCGGTAAAAAAAGATTCTATATTGAATAAATAAATTAATAATAATAAACGATAAAAATAGTTTTATAAAGATTATATTTAGCTCATTGACATTTTATTGAAATGTATATTATTAATGTAGAAATAGTAGTTCTATAGCAAAAAAAAAAAAGAAACTTGTTTTTGCCGAATTCAAGTATTAATTAGGTCTATGACATTCAAATAACTCATAGAATTATTTAACTCAATGATCTCCTTTACATTTTACTAAATATATTCTATAAATAAAAAAAAGTATCACTCATAAAAAATTAAAGTATATTAATACTTAAACTATATCCCTCGAAAAAATTCAATTCCGGATGTAAATAGCGACTATTTATTGCGGTATACATATCTGGTATATATAATTAGCTGGTACTGTCATACTTATTTCTGCTTATAGTCAATGGATTCATCGACTTCGACATAGAAAATCTGTTATTTTTGGATTCTATTTATCTTACAAGACAATTAAGATGAAGATGCATAGACGAAAGGATGATGAATTAATGAGTTTTTTTCTGACGTTTATGAGTTTTTAATGTTTTCCACAGTTTTACTAATCAGCAAAGCCGTCAAAGATATCGATGTTATATAATAATGGTCGGTATATATATCTTCGAAATATAATATTACAATCAAATATTTTGTTAGTTTTATTAATAGTGAAAATAAGTGTTAGAATTTTCTGATTAATTTAGTATAAAAGAGAGGTCAGACCTATAGAATCCATCATAAGTCAAGCATAAATTATATCATGATAAACAAATTATTAAAACCAATCTGTCCTGTGGGAACGACTATTATTAGTCGTTTTCTTCGTCGAAGAACTCGATATACGCAATATTAGAAAAAAATCGAACGTTTGTACTTTCCACATTAATGAATAGTAAAGAATTATTTTTAGGGCGTTTCCACTCCAATCATCACATCGAAGGTTTAGAATAATTGTAGATTTTACAATCATTTGACATCTACGTAAACTATCAGATCAATCAGTTTATCTTGCCTTATATCCTGATTTTTAGTTAGATAAAATCTTTTTGAAATATTAGAAAAATACTTCTAAATTTTATATATATTTTTTTTGTTTTTATCAATTCGTCTTAGTATTATTGAGATAATACATGAAATCAAATATTTGTTTTATAGCAAAATGAGATAGGATTTATCTGTATTGGTTTAGATAACAATTCTATTTAAGTTTGTAATCGTATCTATAAAATTACATACACTAGTTTGCAAAAATACTTGACCTCATAACTTTTTCACATTTTTCTCAAAGAACCCATTCATTTCTAGTGGTTTGAGTATAATCGGATACTCTATGGGAAACACTATATGCTGGTATAATTTGATATAATTTTCACTAGCCTTGAGTAAAAAAACAACACATATGTATTACAATTGGAAGCTTCAAAATCAATTACAGCTTTCTCAGGATTTAATTCTCTATTTTCTTAACTTTCTCATAATTTAGAAACAGTTCAATACACTTTTCGAGATGAAAATAACCGTGTGAACAATCACTCTTAGCTTTCTAGTGGAATTGCCAAGTAGTCAATTTCTTACCAGATCGAATGTTTCTCTGATAATTTCTATCTATTTCCGTCTCTATTCTAAAAGCTTGGTTAATTTCGGGTTTTGAATATCATGCAGGAAATTCGATACAACCTGATAGTTATTAAAATTGGAAATATAAGTTCATTGCATAGTGATAATGTCGTCATGTAATTGTTTTTGAGACTTACGATTCTAGCACTTATATTTGTTGTTCTTCTGCTGAAAATCAATGAAAATTATATCAAATTACACTAGTATATAGTATTTTCCATAGATTATCCGATCATAATCTAACCACTAGAAACGAATGGATTCTGTGAGCAAAATTATGAGGTCAAATATTTTTTTGCAAACTACTGTATATATTAAAATTTTATAGACAAGCCAAAAAAAGAAACTTTTAGTATATAATTCAATATATTATTTGTGACTATTTATAACTCAAGATTGTTTTATTTGAATTAAAATTGGAAGAAAAAACATAATTTATTCATGAATAAAAATGAGTCATTTTATGAATATTTATTGAGTAATGAAATGAACTGAAAGATTTCTTATTTAAGTTTTAATTTCATATTATTTTAAGTACCATCATGAGAAAAAAAAGTACTTTACGTGGATATTTTCTTTTAAAATAGTACACAAAAATCATACATTGATGAAATGATATGCAATCGAAAGCTCCACTAAAGTTTTTATCTTATTAATATACATTTATATATATATAATCATTAACGACAGGTGACTGCGTATATAAGACTACATTATATTTTAAGAAATAATATAATATGATTGTTAAAATGCAAGATATTAGAAAAAGAAAAACCTGGATTTTTTGATACGGTATGCAATATATAACGATTGCTATTGAAGATGTGCTTGTTTTCAATGGGTTGTTTTGATGTACTTATAAACTATAATTCCATTATTGTAATATACTTTCAATTTGTTCCTTTTTGTATATAATTTCATTTTAAATGAGAGAATAGCGTCATCATCAAATAAAACTAAGAAATATTTCTAATGGCAAGAATAGGTGACGGATGGATTTATACTACAGATAATGATGATATTCATCATTTCTACTTAAATAATATTCCTATGCAATTCGTAAATAGCAAAAAGACTTATTTGAAATAAAAAAAATTGAATTTCTATGTCTAGACACATCACTTGCCATTTTCAAATATACGATCTAATGAAATTGATGTACCATCTGAAAAACAATGGACTGATCAATCATTACTTTCAAATACAAATATCAAAAATTATTTAATTAAATCCGATATGTCGCATCAAATCGCATATAAAAATATCATTGACAAATGGAAACAACTTAAAATCGATCAAACAAATCAAGTTATATCATTATTTGATGCTCATTATAATATGCATATACATTTTCGTAAAGATAATAAAAAATATTCTCGTTTATTAAAAAATGATAAACCCTGTATACATTGTAAACGTCTTATAAAAGAATATGAAGAAAGAGAATTATTAAAATTTTCATCTATCAATAAAATTCAACATTAATCTATTAAATTGTCCATGATCGTTGTCGAAATTTTTTTTGAATTTTTCTTTTTTGTGTAAATAAAATTTTTCGTGGGTTTTCCTGACGTTTCATTGTTGTTAGAAACAGAATACGAATTGTATGTAATTCATCTAGTAATAATTTTCGATGTTTATGTAATGCTAAAGCATATGTACTTATTGATTTTAGTGTTTGAATTTGAAGAATTAATAGAATAAAAGATATTAATCGAATCCATGAAAAAAAGAATCGAAAACGATCATTAAATAATTGAGAAAAGATTTCGAAGAAATTTTTACGAAAAAACATACTATGATTTTAATAAGTAAGCGCGATATAAATTTTTATAATTATTTTATTTTACATCCTGTTGTTCCGTTTTTTCCTTTTTGCAATGTGACATATAGTTGGTTATTATTTTTCTTCTTGTTCCGTTGATAGCTCAACGGTAAATGAAAGAGTAGAAGCAAAAAAAACTTTTGTATTGTCAGTTATATTTATACAGGACTATTTTATATTCAAAAAAAAGGTAAAAATGACGGGAGAATAAAAAAAAAGAAAACCAAGTCGACCATTTTTCTTTCTCCCGATACTCCCTTTTCTTTATTTTGTTTCTCAGAGTAGAGTATGATAAGATGGCTTCTTTTTAGAGTAATAGAATATTGTGCAAACTTTACCGCGGACAGATTTTTTACCAGTTCAATGCTATTGAAGAGATTAATTTTTGGTATCGAAATAAAGTTTGAAATTACATAACACGATTGTTTAGCGAATCTATGACGACATCAACACGGAACCGGTTGATAAGAGCAGAGTACACAGTCGACAATATATATTATTGAGAGAGAAAAGAGAAAAAGAAACGACTGGTTTTCAGCACATAATATATACTTTCTGATGTAGTTTAGACGTAGTAAAATTTTTCTTTTTTTTTGAAATTATATTAGACTAAGTAGATTTTATACATTGTGGAATCAATATAAAATAGATTATGATTTATACTAATATACACGCTCTATTGATCCTTTTCATTATAAATTCGTTTTTTCGTTCATTTCTTTCTTTTCTTTTCGTTTCGTTCTGTCTGTGTTTCTTTCGCTGTGTCGTACTGCTATCACTGAAAAGAAAAGCAACAAGCCGACTGATGTAAACGATAAAAAAAGAAACTTATTCTCAATAACGCTTATTTCTAGTGAATTGAAGCAAAACGCATGTGCAGCATATTTTGTGGATGTAATCATTCACTATGACAGGAAACATTCTCCTTCATCACGTATTGACTAAAGCAAGGTAATATAATAGTCCTATTTTTTCGACATCACCAACTACAATAAAGAGAAAAAAAATTATAACAGAAAATCATTCTCGATTTTTTGAGAATATTTTTTTTTTATTTAGTCATCATGATTCGTCATTTTTTTTTAATTATATAAATAAAATATATTATTATTTATTAAATCGATATATTTTTTCACCTTGAATAATAAGGTACAAAATAAATTTCATTTTATTTTTTAGAGTATGCTCTGGTTAATATATGGTACAGCAGGTTGGATTGGTGGGCAATTTCGAGAATTGCTTAATGTTGCTGGTCAAAAAGTAGTATCAGGACGACGTGTAACATGTCTAAAAGATGTTGAAGAGGATATTGCTCAATATAAACCAGATCGTATTATATGTTCTCTTGGTCGTACACATGGAGAAGGGATTCCAAATATTGATTATTTAGAAAAACAAGGAAAACTCAAAGATAATATACGTGATAATCTATTAGCACCTATGTTTATTGCACAAGCATCCATGCAATATTCGAAATTAGCTGCTCCTATTCCAACACTTTACATTGGTACTGGTTGCATTTATGAATATGAAAGTTGCAATGATTTAAGTCATCCATTTACCGAACAAGATTTACCAAATTTTTTTGGTTCATCTTATTCAACTGTAAAAGGTGCAACTGATTTATTAATCGATGCATATCCACATGTGATCAAGTAAGATTTTCCTACAATATATCTTTATTTTATATACATATATGAATAATTTAGTGCTCGTATTCGAATGCCAATATCAGATGATGCTAATCCAAGAGATTTTATTACTAAAATTCTTAATTATTCAAAAATAACATCATTACCTAATAGCATGACAGTAATGTCAGATATATTACCAATACTTTTAGCATTTACACATGATGGTAAATTCGGAGGTCGTGTAAATGCATGTAATAAAGGATGGTAAACAATGAGAAATTTCATATATATATTAGTTTTGTTTTGTCGTTCGTAGGGTTGATCATGATTGGATACTTAAAACTTATCAAGAGAAAACAGGTGAAGTTTTAAATTATGAATTAGAACCCGTTGAAGAACAAAATACACGATTAGCTGCACGTCGTTCAAATAATGTTTTATCATCGGATAAATTTGAACAATGGATGAAAATCTTATCACCTGATACACGTAAACTTTACTATACACCACATACATTACCCGACTTAAAAAAGAGTATTGAAACAATATGTATACATCGTGCAAATGTTAAATTATCAAATACACAAGAAGCAGGTGAAGCACGACGATTACTTGTTACTGGTGGTTGTGGATTTATTGGTAGTAATTTTGTTAATCATTGGATTAAAACATATCCACAAGATTCAGTTATTAATGTTGATAGACTTGATACATGTGCAAATATAGGTAATATTGAACAACCTGATTCACCATCATATAAATTAGTTGTTGCAAGTATTAATAATAAAGATTTAATGTTACATTTAATGAAACAATATGATATAACACATGTTGTTCATTTTGCTGGTAAGATTTAATTTAATTTAATTTTGCTTTTTTTGTCTGTATTTAATTATATTTATTTAGCACAAACACATGTTGATACTTCGTTTGGTAATAGTATTCTTTTTACTGAATCAAATATATTTGGTACACATTGTTTACTTGAAGCAAGTCGAATTTATAATAAACTTCGAAAATTTGTACATATTAGTACTGATGAAGTTTATGGAGAGTGGCCAGCAGGTATAGAATAGAATATTAAACAAAGCAAAAATAAAATTCGAATTTATTTATTTCTTTAGGTAGTTGTCATGAAACAGCTGTGCTTAATCCAACAAATCCTTATGCAGCAACAAAAGCTGCAGCTGAATTTCTTGTGAAATCTTATGGTGAAAGTTTTAAATTACCCTATGTTATAACACGTGGTAATAATGTTTATGGTCCATATCAATTTCCTGAAAAAGTTATTCCACGTTTTATTACAACAATTATGGGTAATGAAAAAATGACAATTCATGGTGATGGTAAACAAGTTCGAAATTTTATCTATGTAACTGATACAGTACGTGCTGTTGATTGTGTTATTCGTAAGGGTAAACCAAAAATGATCTATAATATTGGTTCAAAAGATGAAATTAAAGTTACGGAAATTGCTGGAATTCTTCTTAAATTAATGAAACCAGATGTTAAACTTGAAGATTCAATTGTATATGTTAAAGATCGATATTTTAATGATTGTCGATATTCTGTTATGACCGATGCACTTGAAGGTTTAGGTTGGAAACAAGAAGTTAAATTTGATGATGGTATTCGTATGACTATTAAATGGTATCAAGAAAATCCAAATCATTGGCAAAATGATGGAAATTATAGTACCCAGTAATACATATATACTTATATCAATTAATAACTAATATCACTTAGATAAAGACAAAACAATAAATTGACTGTTTTATTTGTAGAATCAAGCAAAAACTGCTTTTAGTGATCGAAAAATATTTGTGATTTTAATAAGAACTTTTCATATTATTCCTTTATATGAGTTTTCATCAATACAAAATAAATAAATCAATTCTATACAGTTAAAATATACATGATCGACAATATCTATTGATTGAAATAACATCAGATTACTTATCTTTTATTTTTTTTAAAGCTTGTGAATAAACTCTTCTATTAATTTTTTTGCGACCGGCTATTCAAAAAATACCGTACCCCCCTACGGCAAAATTTTGCCATTTGATAACATCCGGCCGAAAAGGGTTAATTCAATAGTATTCATTCGTAATCTCTTCGTATAGGATAATTGTTGATAAATTTTGCACAATTCTTGGAAATAAACATCTATTGTTTTAATATCATTCAAACTAATCACTATAGATTGTCCTTGTCTCTGTCACGTTTTTCTTTGTTTATATTTGTCTAGCCATCTCTTAAGCTTGTCATACGAAGCTTTTCTTTGTTAATGACGAAAACAAAATATATCATTCTTACACAAACACTTAACAGTTATATTCTAAAGAAAAAAAATTTAATATTGTTTTGTCCTTTGATTCACTTTATACCTATGAATGATTTATAGAATAGTTGCATGTATATATGATATATATATTGACATTATCTCAATGGATAATGTACTGTGTTTATCAACAGAACAATTATGTAATAAAGGAGTAAAAGCCAAATTTTTACAAATCTATGAATTGTTTTTTATGTAGGAAATGAGCAAAATAGATGGCATATTTTTAGTAACAATTTTGAAGATAATTCGATAAATTTAATCGAACTTCTTTAGTTGAGATATTTGTTGGTGTACGACGTGATAGAGGTGATAGGCTGAGTGCTGGCAAACGAAATGTTACAGGTTGATTTTTTTTTATATTTGATTTATGAATAGGTGTTTGAGATTGATTTTTATCTTTCGGATCAATAAATACTCGTTCCATTTGTTCATAAGATGGACTCGGTGGTGGTACATGAGGACGTTGAGAATGTTTTACATCTTCATGTTGTCTAACTATTGGCATTGGTACTGGTGTTCGATATTCTGGTCGTGTACCACGAGCAGTCAATAGAGCTAATTCAGCTTGAGATGGATTTGGTGAGTATGCATGATATTTTGATTTACGATATGATGGACGTTTTCTTTTAGGTCGAGTATGATTTTCATCAGAAGTTGGATTTTTGTCACTGGGAGATATAGAAATTTCAACGAATTGATTACGTCCAACATTTGGTAACATTGATTTTCCTGTTGCTACCATATCTTGAATAGAATCATCATATAAGGAACGAAATTTTGGTTTTACATCGTTTGTATCAGTATCATTTGAAAATATATAAACAGGAGGATGTCGTATTGTTCGATCATATAATAAACGTTGACGATTTGATTGTTCGAGCAATGTCATTGTCTCACGCATGTTTTTATAATTTTCGTTATAGTGTCAAAAGAATTTTGTATAATATAATGACAGGTGAACAAAAAATAAACGTTCTCATTTTTAGCTTTAGAGAAAAATGAAACAAAAGAAAAGAAGAAGAAGAGAAAAAAAGAAAAGTAAAACATTCGTTTTAATTTATAATAAACAAACGCTTACTCTTAAATCTCATTTTTTTTCTCTTATGGTTCTTCTGAATAATTCATAAGCAAAAAGGATTAAAGATATTTACAATGCACTCATTCTCTATGACGGATTATAGATGAAACAAAGAAAACAATTATTTCCTCTAGCAAGTTTTATACTTGTTTAAAGAAAAACTATCAACGAAAGAGTTTGCATTTACGTCATATATATTTCATGTGTATTCAATTTGTTTTGAAATGAATGTGATGTTATTCTTCGAAGACATACCTGTTAGCTAGTTTTGACTAAAAATTAAACATAAACGAAAAATTTAGACTATTGTCAACACAACGTTGCTTATTGATGATTTTAATGCCAAGCAAACATTTTAATTATACTATGTAGAATAAAATCATTTAAGCTTATCGACTGTTTGACCAATATTCGATAGCTTAATTAGTTGAGGGATAAACAAGTACGTCATAGAAAATAGACATAATCAAATGTAACAAACTATCAGTTAAACTATACATGATGTTGTTAGAATATTTTATTTTTTTATAAAACTCTTTTTTTTTTCTATACAAAAATTGTTCTTTTTCAAACAGCACAACCACTGGCAAGCATAGGAGAAAGATCGAATACAGAAACAGGTTGTTGTTGTTGCAGTCCATTACCATCTGTTTCATTTAATGCTTGTTCAATAATTTGATTTTCATCATCTTGATTTACTGAACAACTTGTATCTAATGTTTGGCTAGATTGAGACTCAACCTATATAAATAACGAGAGGAAAGCAACTTCTTTTTATAATAATCAATATTTTAAATCTTGTTTTACTTGTCGAATAATATCTTTAACATCAACACTTGGTTCCAATGTACTTGATGAAGATGAAGAAACATTTGATAAAGCTTCTTCAATTTGTAATTTCGATTGAATTATATCCGTACGCTTAAAATTTCTTCTATATGGTGTTGATTCAAAATATTTAGGATATGCATCTCGAACATTATCTTCCGATCCACTACATTCTGAAGTGTTATTGGATGAAACAAAAAATATCGGACGAATGCTTGTCAATGGTTGTTGAGGCTAAATACAAGGAATTAATATGAATTTATTCGAATAGAATACAAACCTGTGGTTTAGGTGAACTTGGCTAACATATCAAGATAAATATCGATAAATTAGAACAAATTAAAAGTATAAAATCTTACTGTTATCCATCTCATCCACGGATGTTTAGCTGCATGTAACATCATTACGTCTAAATAATGATGAACACGTTCTTTTGATGATATTATTCCATATCGTGCACGAACATTAAACTTTTGATTCATTTTATTCATTTGAATCTATTTCATAGATAAATAATATAATTAATATAATTCAAAGAAATAATATACTTTTCGAGTAATACGCCAGGCAGTTGTACGAAAACAATAATGAACACGTATAAATGAAAATAGAATATATCGACATCGTTTTAATTGATAACGCATAAGATAAACGAGTTGACGATAATTACCAGTCATACGACGACCAAGAACAAGTAATTTTTCCGAAAATGACTAAAACAATAGAATCTATATGTTTTATTTTTATTTAAAATAATTCGATCGAAGCAAAAGTGGACAAGGATGATATATATGTGACATAAACTTACATATTATCTAGATATTTTGTTGACTTAAAAAAGATTAAATTTAGTCTTTGAGAATAAATCAAATGATGAATTTTTGAAAGTTCTTACCTCAACTTCATCTAATGATCGTCCATCTTCCATATTTAAATTTTTCCAAAGATTTCGAGTTGTATCAATATAATCATTTAATTCATTTTTAATCGATTTCGAATACATTTCAATCACCATTAATATACTTGTTATAAATCGAAAATATGTTCCGAAAAGTTTAAATTTTTTTTCTTTACGAACATTTGTTATATTATTAAAATTACTATTAATTGTACTGGATTTTGAACTTTTATTTATCACGGATAAAAAGAATAGATTACTATAACGTTCAATAACTTCATCGGAAGTTTGATCAACAATTGGACAGATATGTCGAATAGAATTAATATGTGAACAAAGAAAATGATCCAAACTATTTACTAAACCGAAAATAAAAATTAATATTGCTTATTATTTAAGAAGGTAAATAACGTACGATAAGAATGATATGGCAAGGGCAAAGGTTGAATAATATTTTTATGTACTGATAAAATTGTTTGTTCAATAATTATTAAAATAAAACGAATTGGTAATGGAGAATTCTGTTTCTCTTGTATATATCGATTTCGAGCACTTGTCCATGTTGTTGCAATAAGGGGTAATTGAAATAGTTGACCTCTGAACTCCGGTAACATCTTAAAGTATAAATATTATATTATAAACTTCTTATCTGTCTCTCTTTCTCTCTCTATCGTTCGGCTTGTTCTGTATTTGGTAGTTATATTCACCAATAAGAATTATTTGTTTCTCCTCTATAATATACTGTCAAATAAAAAATAAAATTAATCTAGTAAATAAATATAAAATTAATATTAAAATAAAAAGTAAAGATAAAATTTGAAAATTCTAATTAAAATAACTGGAAAATATAATTGATCCAATCGAACATCTCCAAGTCTACAAATTTTCTCTTTCCTTTCGTTGTATATATTCGTTAGCCAGCTGCTGCGATCCTATTGATAGAAATTCAAGTATAAAAGAAAGATCATCTTTGCACCGCTATTCGATTTTATTTATATTTACACCTGGATATTATTTCATCTTAATTTTCTAGATCAGTCTTTAGTTATTTTTCTCATTTTGATCGAACAAATATGCGTTCTGTACTCTTCTTTGCGCTATTCATCGGTTTTCTAGCTTGTACATACGCAAGTGATGTACTTACTCTTACTGATAGTGATTTCGAGACAAAAGTAAAACAACATGATGTTTTACTCGCTGAGTTTTATGCACCATGGTGTGGACATTGTAAGTTATTTCAATAATATTTTCTAAGAAAATATAAGATTATTTTCTTCCCAAAAAAAGGTAAACGACTTGCACCAGAATACGAAAAAGCTGCTACAGCATTATTAAAAAGTGATCCACCAGTTGCTTTAGCTAAAGTTAGTAAAATTTCTTTTCATATTATATAAATAAATAAAAATCCATTTTCTTAAGGTTGATTGTACAGTTGAAACAAAAGTCTGTGGTAAATATGGTGTTAGCGGTTATCCAAGTATGTTGCGTTTTTTTTATGTTAGGAATTTTTATATTAATTAATGTATTATTTAGCATTAAAAATCTTTAAAAATGGAGAAGTTTCTGAAGACTATAATGGTCCACGAGAAGCCGGTATGATTACAATATAAGACATATATATGTTTTAATTGTTGTTTTTTCTGATTAGATGGTATTGTTTCAACAATGCGATCAAAAGCTGGTCCATCATACCGTGTACTTGAATCATTAGCTGATTATGAAAAATTCTTAGAACATAATGATCATAGTATCATTGGTATGTTGAATAATCAAAAATAATATTAACAAGATTCTCTAATTTTCTATTCTATAGGTTATTTTGATAGTGATTCTCATTCATTGAAAAATGATCTTGTTAAAGTTGCCGATCAATTATCTGAAAAATTCCGTTTTGCTTATACAACAGCTAAAGATGTTCTTGAAAAAGTTGGCCAAACAAAGTAAACAAAGAAAAATTTTCTTTTTTATATGAAAAATTATAATATTTTTTCTACTTAGTAAAATTCTTGTTCATCAACCAAAACGATTACAATCAAAATTTGAAGATGCTTATTCAGTTGTCGAAGGTTTTGGTGATAAAATTAAATCATATATTCAAGGAAAAATGTAAGATTGTTTTGTTTTTCAAGACTTTATTATATTTATATATCATTTTAATTTAGTCATGGTCTTGTTGGTCATCGTACAACATCAAATGTTGCTGATTACAGTAAACCATATGTTACTGTTTATTATAATGTTGATTATGTACGTGATACAAAGGGTACAAATTATATTCGTAATCGTATCTTAAAAGTTGCAAAGAAATTAGCTGATGAAAATGTTAATGTTCATTTTGCTGTTAGCAATGCTGAAGAATTCCGTCACGAATTAACTGAATTCGGAGTTGATGATGTTAAAAAAGATGGCAGATATGTTCTTGCTCGTGGTCCATCTGATCAAAAATATAAAATGACAGAAGATTTCAGTTATGAAGCACTTGAAGATTTTGCTCGTAAAGTAGCTAAAGGTGAACTTGAAGCATACTTAAAATCACAAGCTATCCCAGAACAAACTGAAGATGTTAAAGTTATTGTTGGACGAAATTTCGATGATATTGTTAACGATGAAACTAAAGATGTTCTTATTGAATTTTATGCACCATGGTAAAAGAAATCTTTTTGTATTATTTACTTTAATTAAACTTTATCTTTTTTTATTTTTCTAGGTGTGGTCATTGGTAAGATAGAAAATAATGTTTTGTTATAAATTAGAAATTTTATTTCGTTCTAGTAAATCACTTGCCCCTAAATATGATGAATTAGCTAAAAAATTGAAAAAAGAATCAAATATTGTTATGTAAGAAAAGAAGATTTTCAAGGTTAAAAATTGTTTTATAAATAAATATTATTTTTAGTGCTAAAATGGATGCAACTGAAAATGATGTTCCAAGTCAATATGATGTTCAAGGATTTCCAACAATCTATTTTGCACCCAAAAATAACAAGAAAAATCCACGAAAATATGAAGTCAGTTAAATATTATTTTGTTAATTAATATAAGATTTTCCTTTTTTTTAGGGTGGACGTGAAGTCGATGATTTCATTAAATATTTAGCTAAAGAATCAACTGATCCACTTAATGGTTATGATCGTAATGGATCAAAGAAGAAAGGCAAAAAGACAACTGAAGATGAATTATAAACAAATTATCACAAAAATTCTTCATCTACTTGAAAGAATAACTTTGTTATCATTCAACTCATTTTTTTTTCTCTATTTTTCATTCCATCTGTTGCCTGTTATTTATATCTGTAGTTGAGAACTTGTCTTTGTGTGCTTCTTATATTCTTATGTCCGCATTATTTAACAAGAAATTAACAAGCTGTTGTTGTTCGTTTTCTATTTATGCCAAATGTTACATGTTTAGCAAACAACAAAGTTTTATATTTATTGTTATCTTAACATTTTCTGTTTTTCACTATATTATAGACACGCTCTGTTTTTTCATTGTTTTGGTTTTGCAAAAAGAAAAAAAATTTATGACGCTATGTCATTGATAAAAGCAAAGATAATATTTTTCTTAGCGAAATTCTCCATGAGAAAAAAAACTGATAGAAAGATTTGATTCTAGAAATATTTTTCTTTTATAGCTATGCTTTCTTCTCCAATAAATCTAATAAATCAATTGTCATATCGTCAAATTCAAAATGAATTAAAAAGACGTCGTGTGGATTCAAATGGAAAGAAAAATGATATTGTAAAACGATTAAAAGTTGTCTATGAAAAAGAATCAAAAAGTATGCTTATTGCTCTTCATATAAATTGAGATCTATATTTATTTATCTTGAGAATATTAGATCAAACAACAAATCTAACAAATTTTTATGATTTACCAAATGAAATCTTTCGAGATATTTTCGATTATTTATGTCCAATAGATATTATAAATTCATTTTATGGACTTAATTATCGTTTTAACGAACTTATTAAAACTATTCCAATGAAATTAAAATTTAATAAATTAAATAAAAATGAATATAAACGTGTATTAAAACATATTGTACCTAAAATAAACTTACAACTATATTCATTAGAATTAGGTGTCCTATCAAAAACAATTCATTCATTTAATTCAGAAATTTCAATTGATTTGTTTACTCAATCATATAATTTCACACAATTCGTAAATCTTCGTTGTTTATCTTTAACATCACCTAATCTTGAACAATTGAAATCATTATTTCAAATCATACCTAGTATGTTATCTCTTCGTTCACTTCGTCTTCTTGAACATGATTATTATGGTTCACAAAATGAAACAGTATGTAAACTTACACTTGCTAATAATCATCGTTATTCAATGAAAACTAATCATCATCTTTCACATTTATTTATTGAAACAAGTCCTCCATTTAAAACGTTAACTCTTATTCAAAAATATTTTACAAACAAAATCTCTTTTGATTGTATACAATTGAATATTCGTTGTGCTTTATTTTTTTATCCACATTCATTAACATATATTGATTGCGATGGTCTATCTCGTCTTATATCGAATATGAATTATTTAAAAATCGATGTTACTGTTGGAACATATTCACCAGCGTTTGATTTAATTCGACGTTTTCCACAAATACAACATTTATCTGTAAGAACTATTTCAAAAGCATATGCTAATGGTCATCAATGGGCTGAATTACTTGCTCAAATGTCAAATATAAATAAACTTGATCTTAATATTTATCTTGATACGTATAATTCTAATCAAGAATTACAAACATTTCAAACAAAATTTTGGCTTGAACGACAATGGAATGTTGAATGCAGTAAAAAACACAAGAATTCTTCTGAATGTAAAATAACATATCGGAGTAATCAAGTTCGATAATAATTTTTGTTTTTGCTTTTTTCTGTCTCGAATAAAATCATTCAGATACTAAAATTTTTTACATACTAGTGTTTTTTCTTTTATAGATAATCTAATTTTTCGTAACAGAAAATGGCATCATCAGCAGCAAGCGGAGATGCCGCTGCAATAGCAAAAGAAATAAAGGCACAGTTAAAACAAGCTCGAGAACTTATTACTCAAAAAGATCATACTGCAGCATTGAAATTATGTGAAGTAATAAGTTTGTTTTAATTTGATTTAATACTGTATATTTTAAATAATTTAGGCAATTGTTAAAAAAGATAAAACTTGTTATATAGCTTGGAATATGATTGCTGCATGTGCACAAGAATTAAAACAATATAATCAAGCTCAATATGCTTTAAATAAAGCAATTGAACTTGATGAAAATCAACCTATTGCTTATCAAGTATAATTGATATTTAATTAAAAAAAATGAATGATTTATTTCTCAATAGGGTTTAATACAATTAAATGAACGTTCTCCAGGTTTTCTTAATGAAAGTGATATTACTAGTGCATTTCGAAAATTATGTTCACTTACTCGTGCAACGTATGTTCAATGAAACATCATAAGAGATTATTTTTTTTGCATTATTTTCTAATTCATAGTGATCCCGTAAAATTCTTCGATCATGCAAAAAAATATATTGAATATTTGAAAAAACAAATTAATGTACAATCAATAACTACAAATGAACAAAATAATCCTACTCGAATACAATTAATTGAACTTTGTAAAGATATTGTTGAAGAAAAACGTCTAGAATTAAGTCAAGAAGATGAGCGATCCTATCGATTATTATCAATTGATACATTTGCACCGATCAAAACAATTCCAACAAATTTAAATGAATTTGTTAGTTAAAAACAAAAAAAACGAAATTCTCAGTCTGTATTTTTTTAAATATTTTAGTTAAGTAGTAACTATTTCTGGCTTTCACAAAGTAGTTCAGATAGTGATGAGCGTTTAAAATATTACGAAAAATATATTCGTTCAATTTGTCAAGTAAGCAAAAATATAAAATCAAACGATTTCGATTGAATTTTTTGACTTTTAGATCGGCCGTTCAAGTTCAGATATAGTTGAATATTGTAATGAATGTTTAGCATTATTTCCAAATTCAACAATCGCTCAAAATACATTAATTATTATTTTACTTGAATCATTATTACCACAAATATGTATAGAAATATTTTGACACCTTATTTGAAACTTTTTGTTTTTTTTTTCTCAGATGATTCATTAGCACCTGTAGGAAAATTAACAGATGCATTAAATCGTATTCGTTCAAATGAAAATAATCAAATATCAATACCATCAATATGCGGCAAAGCTTTTTTTTCAATTCGAAATGGAAATTATTCATCCGCACTTGAGCTATTAATTAATATTGATCAAGAAGATGGTAAAATTAATATTCTACATAATTATAGTTCTATATATATTTTATATAGATGCTTATCATTTGGTATTAATACTTAAAATGGTTTGTTATGCTCATTTACATCTTATTAATGAGACGATAAATATAACTTCTATTGGTAAATTAATTAAGAAGAATAAGTTTTAAAGAAATAGAATTATTTTTTCTAATTTAGTACGAACAAAATTAATAAATTTTATTGTAAAAGATGTTGTATCATCAACCGAAGCATTAATCGATCTTTGTTTAGCTATGGTTACTTATGATCAAGGTCGATATGAAAAATCTATTCAATTATTTGAAAAAGTATCTTGAAAATTTAATATTATTACACAAAAAATTGAATATTATTTAAATAGATTCGTAATACAACAAATAAATATCATAACCGAGCTCTCTATGGTCAATTTAATGCTTATCTAAGCTTAAATAAACCAATTGATGCTCGTACATGTTATGAAACATTACAAGATCATTTAGAACCAAGTGAAGAATTATCCTGTCGTCTTCAATTAAAATTAATCGAAGAACAACATCCCGCTGATCTTCTTAAAACGTATAGATATTACCGACTTATTTCTTTTGAAATTTAATATTTTTTAGTGTACAATCTGCATTACAAGAAGCTAATAATAATGAAGAATTATTTGAATTAACTGTTCAAGGATGGTTAGCAGTTGGTCGAGCTTATTTATCTATACAACGTTCAAATGATATTTTTGATAAAGATCAATGCAAATATGCCTTTGATAAAGTATATAGAAATAAAAATTTTAGAAATTAGTATATTTATTTTCTATTCAATATATATATAGGCGATTGAACTTGATGAATATTTTTGGGAAAGTTATGCATGTCTAAGTCGATATTATAATGAAATTGAACAATGTTTACCAAAAGCATTAGCTTATTCAAAACGTGCTTTTGATTTGAATGAAAATATTGAAAGTGTACAAATAAATTATGTTGATAATCTTCTTCAAGCTGAACAAATTGTAAACTAAATAAAAAACACCTATATAATATTTATTTTTCTCATTTATTTATGATTAGTCGGATGCATTAGACATACTTGAACGTATACTTGCTATGGATAATACGAAAACATGGGCACATTTTCGTTTTGGACTTGTATCACTTCGATTAAATAATGTTCATAATGCTGTTAAAGCATTACAAATTGTTTCTCGACGTTCAATGGCTTCTGGGTAAATAATAAAATCTATTTCAAAAAAAAAATTCTATTTTTAACATTATACATATAGTGCTAGTTGGTCGGCATTAGGTGATGCACATTTACATTCAAATAATTTAAAAACAGCATTCAATTGTTATAATAAAGCAACGACTCTAGAAAGTGAAACACTTTATTCATTAACAAGACAAGCATTTGTTTTGACATTACTTGGACGTTATAATGATGCAATTACTTTATTTGATAAAGTCATTAATCAATCACCGAAATATCTTTTAGCACGAAAAGGTTTTTCTTTTCAATTATTTATATATTTTTCAATTGTTTTATTTAGGCAAAGGTGAAGCTCATTTATATCTCGCTGTTCAACAAGTAGGACGTTATAAAGATGAAATAGCAGTTTCTCATATTCAACAATCACTTATAGTAAGTACAGAAAATTTAATTCATTATTATTTTCATCGATATGTTTCATAGGCATTTCATGATGCTTTATGTTTACAATCAAATTATGCATGTTTATGGAAAAAATATGGAGATGCATGTATGCTTCTTCATCCGATCAATGATGATTTAATTAATATACGATTACCATCATTCACAGAAAAATTTGATGAAAATAAAATCAAAGATGGTGATGGTTATATTCGTTTAAAAAAACTTGATCTTCTTCAACGTGCACAAAAGTATATTAGACTAAATTTACTCTATTTTTCTATATTTAATTGATTTAAATAGATGTTTTATGCAAGCAATTCGTTTAAAATCACGTTCATCAGTTTATTGGTCTTGTCTCGCTCAATGTGTTTATATTCAAGCTCGTTATCATTCAAATGATGAACGTATGCTATTATTAGCATTTGACTATATGAAAGTTGCGCTTTCATTAAAACCAACGAATTATTTACTTTGGAATGCACTTGGAGTAATTGCAGCACATCCAGGTAGATTTAAAAAAAAACATGAGATCAATTTATGACTAATCATCTATTTCTATATTTGCTAGTTGTAAATGAATCTGGTTTTGCTCAACATTGTTTTTTTAAATCTCTTCAATTACAACGATCAGCTGTTGCATATACGAATCTTGGTTTTCTCTATTATCGACATGAAAATATTAATTTATCAAATAAAGCATTTTCAAATGCACAACAAACTGATCCAATGTATTCACTAGCTTGGATTGGACAAGTATATAATATTCTTATGAATACATTCGAATTAATTTAATATTTTTTATTAGGCACTTATAGCTGAGAAAATCGATTATAATGAATCAATTGATCTCTATCGTCATTGTATTGATCTTTCTAATCATGTAAAAAAATACCATTTGTTTTATATGAAAAAAAATTGTTTTTTGTTTTTAGTCACAAGGTTTATATGGTTATGGAAAAGCAATTACTAATCTTCTGATGAATCCAAAGAATAAATCAACGAATGCATATCGATATTCAGTTGATTATTTAAATGGAAATCAACGATCATCGGATGCATTAACAAAATATATTCGTATATATTTTGTTTAATATCAATTTCTTAATGTAAAATTGTTTTTTTAGAACGAAATCCAAATGATGCAAATGCTTTGCAATGTTTGGGTATTATTCATGAATTTAATCATCGTTTTGTTCAAGCTGCTACTGCTTATCAACTGTAATGAAATAAATGAATTTGTTTTTAAGTATTCTTTTTCTTTTAATTTAGTTCATTTTCTAAAATCAATCAACAAAATGAATTATCGAAAAGATTACAAAATGATTATGCACGTGTTAAATGGTATTGAATTAAATATTAAATAAATTGATAAATTATTCTTGATCTTTTTAGTCGAAGTGGACATGCACAAATCGATGCATTTGTTTCACAAGGAATTAAATTAACATTACTTGATCTTCTTTGGTTATCAATTGCTTATGGAAAAATAAATAAACGAATGGATGCTATTGAATGTATGTTTAAATAATTAATTTTATTCGATTAAATGTGTTTATTTTAGTTTTAAAACGAGCAATTGATGATTCAACAACAACAGATGAAGATCGATCAATATTATTAACTTTTCTTGGACTTTATCAACGAGAAATCGATCCACAAACAGCAATTAAACATCTTTTCAAAAGGTTCTTTAGTTATTATTTGTTTGTTTTTTAATTTAATTTATTTAGTTATCAAACTAAACCTGTTTGTTCAAGTGCTATAACTGCACTTTGTGCAATGGGAATGATAATATCAGATACTCGAATAACATCCGCTGCTTTAAAAGAAATGCCAAAATTAACAGATTCAAATTATACAATGAATATACATTTATTAACATGTTTATCAATGTTTTTAACTGTAAATTATTCATATATTATAATATAAAAAATTTCTGTTTCTTCTTTTTTTATTTAATTTAGAATAAAACTCGTGAAGTATATAGTTATTCAATGAATGCTGTTCATAATTATCCATGGTTAACATGGACATGGATATTAGCCGTAATGGCACGTATTCAAATAGGAAATCAATTAGGTGTATTAGAAATCATTGAAAGAATTTATCGTTCAAATTTTTCAACAATCGATGAAGTTTGTTTGAATTTTATTTTCTTCATATTTATTTTTTTCTCGTATTTAAAGAAAATGACAATCCTCGTTGCGAAAGTATTACATCGAGTATCATCGGAACGTAATGAACGTATTTTACATATCTTTCAAATGTTAATTATGCATCAACCAAGTAAATATTTAAGATCCGAATGTGACAAGCTTACCTTTTGAGACAGTATAAATCCATTTTACTTGACAGAAATAGTGATAGTCATGTTATACCTCTGACGAGGGAATTACCCGAAATATCAAAAATCTTTTGAGCTGAAATTTTGCCCACAAATAGGGCATATATAGATTAGAGAACGTCTAAAAGGATATGTGCCCAAGTTGATGTTTGGCTGAGATATCCATTATTTATTGTATTTGTTCTATAAGGTCCTATCTGTGCGATAAAATCAAAGTTTCGAATTTAGACCTGAGATTTTGTCAACACTGAGGCCTTAATCAGACAAGCGTACTTACAAAATTTCAGAAATTTTAGACAGATTATCTCCGAGATATAAATCCGTCAAAATATTCATGTGAAACCTAATATCCATAAGAAAGCGTCTCTATATTAACATACTTGTATCTCGGAGACAGCCTTTCAGAAACTTCTGAAACCTTGTGAGAAAGCTTATCTGATTGAGGTCTTAGTGTTGACAAAATTTCAGCTCAAAAGCGTTTTGATACCTCAGGTGGTTCCCCTCGTGAGAATCGACATTTACCGATATGTATAAATATTAGTCTATAATTTCATAAAATAATTTTTCTTTTAGCTCTACTTGATCTACGTATTTCATTTGCGCAATATATTCAATCATTTGATCAATCATTTGGACAAACAATACTTCCTAAGAATATTTTATTGTGATGATTTTTTTTTATGTAAATAAAAAGGTTTTAGTCCTTAAAAGTCAAATATATATTTGTGGAATGACAACTTGGTTTTCTAATCAAATAAACAAATATCACGAAAAAGAAACCGACCGAACAACATAAAAAGACAAACGAACAAAAAAAAAGAAAACTGAAATATATATGTATAGAGATAAATTGAAAAAATAGTTCAAGTGCACATTGAATTTGATAGAGTTGAATAGATAAATGAAAGGAAAAAAATGAATAATTAAAATGCCATTCAATGAAAAACGGGGAAAAATAAACGTTCTTTTTAATCAACTTTTAATCTTGGTGCTGTCATACGATAGATAATTGTATCCGAACCTGGATCTAATGTTAAAAATACATAAACAATACTAATAAGTATTAATGCAAATGCTAATGATGTCCAGAAAAATAAATTGAACATCGTTGGGTATTCATCGGAATACATTGTTGCAATTGTTACATTTCCAGTCTAAATAGAATTTTAATATGAAAAGAAGAAAATGTTAAATAGTAACGTACAGTTTGTTGTTCAGCTTGTCTTGCTCGACGTACACGTGCAGTTTCTGTTGTTGTTAATGTCATGACTAATGTTTGAGGTTCACTTGCAGCAATCTATTTATATTTAAATCGTTAGTTTTTTTTATTATTGTTTAAAGTAAAAGATTTACTTTGTCAAGTGCAGATTTTAATGGAATTTGTAATTTATCCGTTTGACAATTGTCACAAACCATGACTATGTATTTACATGGTGCCTTTAAAAAAAAGCTGAATGAAAATAATATTTATATAAATGTATTTACTTGGCTATTCATTTGAGATATTTGATTTTGAAGTGATTTATCAAAATTATCCATATCCGAATCCGAAGCCTTAAAATATGAATTTAAGATATGATATAAATATAGAAAATACTTACTAGAACAATTGTACCAATACTTAAAACATCATTTTTATGAATATTGCTTAATTTGGATTGAAATGAATCAATACCAAAACCACCATCCTAAAACATTTTGCATAAATAGTATTAAAATTGTTTATTTCATTTTTTATTTACATCGACTAATGGAAGGCCATTATCAGATAGTTTATCTACTCCTTCAATATGGAATAACCAAATTGATGGAATTGTTAATGGATTTGTTGAATATAAAACTGCTTTGTCAGTCTAGTATAGAAATTTTATGTTTTATCTATGGAATTTATTTCTTTTTTACTTTATCTGCTGATAAACCTAAAAGTGTTAACAAATTGTTTTTAAAATCTGATACTGTCTTTCCATCAGTTTTATCCGTAGCTAATGATACATAATTTGGTCCGCTGTATACTTGACATTGACCAGCTTGACTTGAATCTAAATTTATCGTTAAAATACATGGAATTTTATTTAAAAAATTATCTTACAAATTACTGATGAAATGAGAGTAATTATTAGAAGAAAATTCATCTCTAAAACAGAGCAAGAAGAAATGATGTTTACTCAAGCGAAACAATGTATATATATAAATGAAAGTAACAACTACCTTTTGTAATAAAAATAACAGAAAAGAAGGTCTCTTGATAAATAAAAAGTTGTCTCAATTCTAATTTATTTTCGTATAAGTTGTTGACAAATAATAAAAAAGATCTGATAGATGTCGCACTCTTCCATATTATAAAAAAAGAACAACTATACAAAATTTATTTTTCTTCAAATGCTTCGTTTAATTTCGATTGTTTTTGAATTTGTCTTCGAATCATATTTTCCAATGAAACATGATCAAGATCATCTTTTAATTGTATTCGAAATATACGTTTAAATAGAAGAATAGCATGTTGTCGAAATATACTTGATGAATAATAATATATATAAAAATTAAATGCTAATGACGCATAAGATGGTAATCGTAAAATATCGAATATAAATGCAGCTTCATCATAAGTTTCTTTTGTACCATAACTTTTTGAAATATATGGATATAGAACAACTGTTATTGATATTGGAAAATTACAAATTATAAACGAAAATGAACTAATTAAAAGAAATTTAATTAATGTACGATCAAGATTACGACGTCCAAATTTTAAATGTCGTTTATATTGATCATATACAATAGAAATATTACATAAAGTAACAATAACAAATGGTAATAGTGCAAATGTTGTTAAATCAATCCATGGCCATATATTTTTAAAAAATGACATATAGGTTGGATAATTCGGATTTGGACCACAATAATCATCTGCATCATCAGAAATATTTCCAATAAATTTAGTTGAAAGATGAATATTTTTTAAAGTAAGAATTACAGTTAATATACACGATACAATTATATTTAATTTTTTTGTACAATAAATACGTGTTTTAATAGGAAATTTAACTTTAAGATAACGATCAACTGATATCGCTACAACCATCCATGAAGCCATATCCATCGATGTATATAAAACTAAATTACGGATACGACAATAAGAAGCATTAGGTACAGTAATATGATAACCAATTGTTAAACAATGATGAAGACCACCAATTAATGCTAATGAATCGAATATTGAAAGAAGAAGAAAATAGATACCACATGAAGTTTGATTCAATTCAGTAATAGAGAAAAGTAATGATGAAAGTAAATTACCAATAAGACCAACAATGAATATAATAGGATAAATGATCATGTATAAATAATGAATTATTTCTTCCAACTCATTATGTACAGATAATGGTAATGTAGAAACTACCTGTCGAATATTAATACATGACTTATCCATTTTATTTATCAAATGTAATATTTAATCCTACATATTTCAAAGAAAAATCGAAAAGCGTGTGAATTAAAGCAAATGCTCTATGGGCGATCATCATTATCACTGGTAACAAATAGATAAAAATGACTTGTACTATTAAATAAAAATATCTATTCAAGATGAAATGATTTTTTCGTTCTCTGTAAATTAAATCTTATATAACAAAAGCAATACTGACGATAAAATAAGTGCGACGAGGTTTAGTGAATTTTATCACTAGGTAAAGATAGAAAATAAAAAATTAATTCATATCGATTTTTTTAATTCTCCACACATAGTTAACTTTTATTAAAATATTATATGAATTTACATGAATAAAACTGTACATGAAAATAATTAGTTAATTACACTTAACGATAAAAATTCGAAATGACACTGTTAGTATTCCATAGTTGATCTGATGTTGGTTGATATTGATCCGATTCTTCAATTGAATAAAGTCGAGTTTCATAACGTTGTTGATCTGAATATGTTCGATTTGTTAGTTCAATATCATTATTATTACTTGTTGCAGTTTGAATTCGAAATATACGTTTAAATAGAAGAACTGCTTGTTGTCGAAAAACAACTGATGTATAATAATATAAATAAAAATTAAATGCTAATGAACCATAGGATGGTAATCGTAAAATATCAAATGCAAATGCAACTTTATCGTATGTATCATTTGTATCATATGATTGTGAAATATAAGGATAAATTACAGCTAAAATTGTTATTGGAAGATTAGAAAGAATTAATGAAACTGAACTAACTAAAAGTAATTTTATTAATGTATGATCAAGATTACGTTTACGTAGTTTTACACGTCGTTTATATTGGTCACGAATTATGAATATATTACATAAAGTAACAATAATAAATGGTAACAGAGCAAATGTTGTTAAATCAATCCATGGCCATATATTTTTAAAAAATGACATATATGATGGATAATCAGGATTTGGATCACAATGATCAGCTGCATCATCGGAAAAATCTCCAATAAAACTTGTTGCTAAATGAACATTTTTTGCAATAAAAATAACTGTTATTATACATGATATAATAATTGCTAATTTTTGTGTTGCATACATTCGTGCTTTAATTGGAAATTTCATTTTAAGATAACGATCAACTGATATCGCTACAACCATCCATGAAGCCATATCCATCGATGTATATAGAAGAAAATTTCGAACATGACAATAAGAAGCATTTTTTACTGCAACATGATAACCAATTGTTAAACAATGATGAAGACCACCAATTAATGCCAATGAATCTGCTATAGCAAGTATAAGAAAATAGATACCACATGATGTACGATTAAGTTTTGTTATAGAAAAAAGTAATGATGAAATTAGATTTCCAACAATACCAAGAAAAAATACAATAGGATAAATGATCATATATATATAATGACTTATTTCTTCAAGATGTTCTTGTTTAATAAATATTTGAGATGATTGAGAAATATTCATAATTTTTTTATTCAATTGTTTTACAGTGTCGTAACAAAAGGAATTCAAATATCAACAAAAAACAAATATCAAAAAAGAACAAATGTCTTGTCTGAGATAAATGTTATCAGTTACGTTAATAGTTTGTAAATGAAAGAAAAAGACAAGAAAGCATTCGTTAATGTGATTCATAAATACTATCAAAAGAACTTCTTTTTATTCGATAAAACATATTAAAAATCTTTTCAGGGTATAATTCCTATTAAAAAAACAAGTCAGCACCGTGGCGGACCTAGGATTTTGGAGGGGAGGGCGATTTCGTCTAAGAACTATTTTTGAGTCCAATTCAAATAGTGCGAACCTATTTTTGCTGTAAAAAATCAAAAAAATTCTGAAGGGGGAGCAATGCCCCCCTCCCTAAATCCGCCACTTAGTCCGCAATATATTTTTCTTCTTTATAAATATTACCCATTACATATTTAGTACTTTCTTATCTTTTCAAACGAACTCTTGGTACGTATTCATACAAACTATTTTTTTATGTAAATCATGTTTTATTATCTAGTACTGTTTTCATAACTAAACTAAGGAAGAAAAAAGAAGAAAAGGCGAACAAAAAGAAAATGGAAAGACTTTCAGTATAACAAGAACATCAATAACGTACACAAAAAGAAAAATCACAAACTTTTTCATACACATATGCATATCTATATTATATATAATACATGTTAACTGTCGAAGCAAACATAACCAAAAAAAAATGTTTTGTCGAAAAACAACTAAAGTATTCACATATATAGCAAAACAAAGTTATATATTCTTTTTTTTTTGTATTTATCTTGCATTAAAGCATAATAAATTGTCTTTTTAATTAAAAATCATTTGTAAGAGAAAAGGTGATAAATGAAATTCACCATTTAATTTCAGCATTTGAAAAAAATTCGTATCATCAATATATTGTACTCGATGTAAAAGATTTGCAAGATGTAATGAACAATTTGTATCAAATATTGTTTGTTCAAATAAAAGTTTTTGAAATTGATTCGAATTTATTATGAATACATTTGGTACGATGGCTTTTAGACGGTCATATATACTATTTAATATTGCATTTTTTAATGAATCACGACGTGGATCAAAATAATCAGACGTATGTTTTCTATCAGTTGATATTATTTGTGTTGGAGACAAAAATAATAGTGGAGATTGTTCAGATACTGAACATTGATGGCAAGGAAGAGGCCAACGAAGATCTGTTGTTATCGCTTGTAAACGATACGTTAAACGTGGATCATTTAATGGTTCGCATGTAACTAATGGTATAGATATATTATATAGATTAAAAATTATTGTTTCAGATGATTTATGTTGTTTTTTATTTAAAATTCTTCGTGGTAGTAATACTTGAGTTAGAGAAAGTGGTGATTGAGGACTTTGATTGGGAAGCATAGATGTCTAAAAATATTGAAAGAGGGTTTAGAAAAAAAAGGAAAATATCGATTTGATTTTAAATTACGGAAATTGATGAACATGATGATGATGATGTTGATGATATAGATAAACGATCAGAATCCAATCGATTAATATTATTAAAAACTTTTTACATAATTCATGAAATTAAATGAATTAAAATAAAAATAAGATCATTATTTACCTCGTGCTAATAATGGATTGTTCATAAGAGATGATACATTTTGTTTACTTGGACTAGATAGTGGATTGACAATTGTCTTGTCTGTATCATTGTTATTTACATTCTTTTCGTTATCATGAAATTCTTCATCATCATCAAAATTATCTTCATCATCTGAACATGGTACAATAATAAGAAAATCTTGTGGACATGCATCAAAATTATCAATAATAGGAACATCTGAATTATGAATAGAAGAGAATATTGGATCATCATCAAGTGGTGGTAACTCTGGAGAAAAACCATCATATGATATAGGAGATATAGATTTCATATAATCGTAATTTGAAACGGCTGGTACAACTTCTTCTGTTGTAGATAATAAAACTTCTGTAATACTATCAACTGAAGCTTCATCAGTAGTTCCCATTTGAACATCATTTTTAACAGGTAACAAAGCTTCATTAATACTTTCCATTTGATTATCATTCATCATAATCGGTAGTAAAATTTCACTAGTAGTTTCCATCGGAACATCATTCGTAGTAACTGATGGAACTCCATTGCTGATTTCTAATTGAACTTCATTCGTAATAACTAGCGGAACTTCATTTGTAGTACTTAATATGAGTTCAGTAGTAGCCTCCATCTGAATATCATTCGTAGTAGATACTATAACTTGACTAGTAACTTCCATTTGTACATCATTCGTAGTAGATGATATAATTTCGCTAGTACTGTTCAATTGAATTTCATTAAAAATTTTTGATTGAACTTCTTCCGTAGCAGTTGGTAACACTGTACTGATCGCTTCTATTACAAGTTCGGTGGTCATTTCTGATAAATTTTCGTTTGTAGGAAGTGAACAGTCTTCATCGGTTATATTTGAAAATGATTTATTAAGAGGTTGGAATAAAATGTCGTCTGTAGGAAGTGCATAGTCTTCCTCGGTTATAGTTAGTAGTGATTTATTAATAGGCTGGAATAAAATTTCGTGTATTGATGGTAATGAAACTTCATTATCCATAGTTGATAATGGTTCATTGAGATCTGGTTCTAGAAATGTTTCCATAATATTTGGTAAAGTTTCATTTGTATCTATATCACCGAATGATTGAATATCAAATAAATTTTGTTCATCGGATTCATGAAGATTTTCGTGTTCCATCAAAAACATTGGTTGCATTGTATCTAAAATATAATATTAGTTTGTAATCTAGACTAGAAATAATGATACCTCAAACATTTGTAAATAGATAAATTTTGTATTCCTATTTTCTGCCTAGGTTTAAAAATAATTTCACTTATTTTTCTATTAATCGAACTCATTTATTAAGTTAGTGGATGAAATAGTATACATCTAAGGAATCATAACTAATAAAGTTAAATTATATACCTTCAACATTCTCTGATTCGACCGGTAGATTTGATGATTCTGTTTGCTGTTCAGATGATGCTGATATTGATATTGATGATGACGATGAATCCGATGATAATGCTAAAGATAAAGATTATAGTATGAAATTTAATTTAACAATAATAAAATTACTTGTTATTATCGATTTCGTATCGATAGGAAGGCCATTAATATAAGTATTAATGTCAGATAAATCAAGATCATACATCGATAAGTCTAATCGTGGCAATGAAATTGAACAACGATATTCAGATGGTAAAATAGGTCGTTTCACGATCTTCTTCTTGGTAGATTTTTCAACTATTCAAATCAAAGATTATAATGAAAAAAATTATTCTAAAAAAAAACTATATAATTTTTTAACAAACCTGTTCGTCTTTGAATCGATGGTTTTGGTCTATATATTGGTGACCCTGATGAAGATGATATAGATCTTTGTTTGCTTTTATTTTTAACCGACAATACATTGATATCACTTGTTGATGAACGAACAGATATTGATTCATCACTACGTTTCTCTTTAGAAATATTTGAAGAAGCTGGAATTTGTTTCTTTGTTTCTGTGGTATTTAAACGTTTCAATGGTTTATTATGTTCATATGGTTTACTAATAGCAAGTGATTTTGTTTTATTATGTGATGAATTTGATGATGTTGAAGATTCAGTTGATTTTTTAGGTTTTATATATGATGAACTTGGTAAATTAATAACATCGTATAAAGATAAATTGACTCGATCCAATTTAAGGGAACATTTAAATTTTGAATCGATTGGTGGAATGGAATGACATGGTTGTATTGGTTTTTCTGGACGTGAAAGTTTGATTTTTAATGGAGGTACACGTAAAGGTGCTTCAGGCATAGATGATGGTCGAGCGTTACCAACATCTAAAGATAAAAATCAATAAGTTAATTTCAGGATGTCCCTCCACTCTTTTTTGACCTTTTTCAAAACTCGAAAACGGTTAGATCGATCGAGCTCAAATTTTCATCACACATACCGTACCTCAATTGATGAGACACGTGTTCTAGGAAAAACGTTTCCTAGACGACCTTTATGATTTTCTAGGGGATTTTATTGTACCAGCGTAGTATTCTGTCCGACTTTATCCAATCAATCTGAAAACTCTTTTCAGATAGTCACGCCTATATCTCAGAGATAGTATTGAGATTTTTCCAATACCCCACGTTCTTGTTTCTCAGTGACGAAAATACGTAAAGGCTGTCTTGAAAATCAGATAAAACCGGCCGATTTTGCCTCTATAGAATATCTCGAAGTATGTGTGGTAAAATTTCAGTTCGATTGAATAAATTTAACAGGCGGTTTTGCGTGGCACAACCCGAACATAGACAGAAAAACTGGTTTTGAGAAAATATGAAAATACAGTTTCGCAGTGTATGTCTCAACAAAGATGTTAGACAGTAATTTTTTCCCTTATGATGAATGTCATAGACTTTTCGTTGTCTAACATATATATATGTATATACTTTTCCTATCAAGAAGTCACAGCTGCTGTTGCCTTCTCGTTCTCCATCATTTAGGAATGATTTCATGGGTGGATAGTCTGTGTCTGTTTAATGTCATCTATATAAACGAACTGATTTCAATAAACGGGATTGACTGTGAGGGTCAGGATCGTCTACACGCAACACATTTCATTAGAAAATCATGCCTCATATGAGAAAAATTGATTTTTTAACAGTGTTCAAGGTAATTCGTTGCGGTGAGGCTAATGATGTTATTGCCAAAGTTTTAGAGATATTCTGTAATTAGTTTTTCTGAACCAAATCATCACCCGATCTTTCCTTCCTTCTCTCTCTCTCCTCTCTTTGCTCATCCCATTTTCTAGTCTATAATTGTCTGTCCAAACAACTGTCTCTTCTTCTCTCTCCAATCTGTTTCCACTTTCCTCTTCTCTCTTCTTGTCTACTCTCTTTTCATCTATTGTCGTCTCCCTGATGTCAATATGTCTGACCTTTGTTCTCTTCTTTTCTTTTCAAGAGAATCGGACATTCGATTTTTTATTTATGCTTGAATATAATAGATAATTATAAAAGCCATAGAATGTTTTTGAAATTTTTAAATGCATAGCTTTTTGTAACTCGTTAAAAATGCGTCTATTTTCTCTAATCTTTCTGGGTAGAAATATTTTAGACATGTGAAGTTTACACTAGCAGCATGTATTGATATCGCTATGAAATAAAATATAGCAAGCATGTATAGACGCATTCTCAACGGAATGAAAAAGAGATAAGCATATGTCTAAGTAGTTATAACTCGTTAACCTGTTTAAGGAACAATAGAATGTATATAGTAAAAAAAAAGATAAGAATATATCTGGCGTTTTATCTGATTTGATCGGGGTGATTTAAACGCAACTCTATAGGACAACATACAATCTATCCATAAAACATATAAATAAAAATTAGAAGATTTAATCATACCAGTGCTTTTCTTCGATAAATCAGCAAGTGGTTGTCGTCGTTGAATTGCTTCGTATAGTCTTTCTTGTTCAGCTTCAGCATCTTCTTTTCTTTCCTGTTCTTCACGTAAACGATCTAATAGTGCATCTGTTGATGTTACAAGGTATGATCTATGTATATATCTCTAATATTGATTTTTATTTTAATCTTATTTTATTCTTACTTATCAAATGTTTTATGTTCATCTAGTTTAAGAAAATTTCGAATTGTTGAACATAAATCACCATTATTTTCTCGACAAAATGATATGATTGCAACAGGTAACAATTGTCGTGGAAAAGCATCTTTTTGAGTTACTTCAAAATCAAAAACTGTTTTCTAAATTAGAAAAAAAAATCATTATTTTCTTTCCGCATATTGATTAAATATAATCTTACAATAACTCTATCACCAACTGATGGTAATTTTGGTCCATTCACAAGTTCACGTGTTGCAATACGTTCAAAACATAATAACTATAAATATAGGAAATATTTTTTTTAATTGTATTTGAATAAAAACAGAAAAGTTCTTTACTTTATATTGTACAATATGAACATTTTCAGTATTTGGAGGTTCCATATATAATAATTCATCAATTGATCGACAAATAAAAACACCTGTTAATCGTGTATTTGGTGCTCCAAGAATAATTTTTCGACCTGGTGTTGTCAATTGACCAGTATCGGATTTTACAAGTTTTGAATGATATATTTCTGTGCGAATAACCGATTTAACACACTAATTTAAATATAGAATAAAAGTAATGTTGAATATAATCTATCTCTTATGATTTACCTGCATTTTTTGAAGTTTTTGTAAATAATTTTTGTTTCGACTTGGATCACAAATAAGAGACATTCCAACAAGTTTCCATGGTAAAGGATCTGTACGTCGATTATTTAATGTATATTCAACATTATGAACAATTGTATCAAATATAACGCCTTTCGATAAACTTAATATACTTGCTAGAATGTATTTTAAAAAACAATTAATAAATATAATAAATATTTATACTAACCAGGATCGATTTCCAATGAAATCAATGATGATTTAGCTAATTTTTTCTCATCATTAGCCATCATTTTCATTCAACCTAAAGAGAAATATAAACAAACAGTCATACAGATCGATCAGCTAACAAATGATGCACATATATAAAGATAATCATCATCAACAGAAGCTGTCAACTCGTGAATTATGTTAAACTGATGTATATTACACAAACAACTACTACTGCTTTCAATAAGATAAGAATATCATGCTGATCGATGTTAATATTATACAAAAAGTAAAAGAAAAAAAGCGCTGTATATGTCCAGCATACAAAATTATTTTCTTTCCTTTTTATTTGTACAATAGAAATAGAATCATAAAATCATGTCCAATGAAGATAAAGAATTTAATAAGTGCAAGAAAAATTTATTAGAATCTATTTCAGATGAAAAGAATCAATATGAGAAATTACTTCCACTAAATCAAATCAAGCAACAAAATATAACTGAACAGAACTTCTCAATAGGATCTAAAGAATTATCAATGGTATTCAAATAACATAAAATTCTATATATATTACAAACAAATTTTCCTAGTCTTCTATCGATTTGAAAGAGTTTACAAATGATACAAACTCTTGTGATTCAAAGTATTATTATAATAGAACTTAATTCTTTTTTTTTCTAAACAACAAATTTCAGTAATATTTCGCATTTATCATTAGATACGAAAAGTATTTTAATTCAACGTATACTTGATTCTTTTAAAACTAAATCATCTGATAGTACAACAAATACATCATTATCATCTATAAATGAAATAAAAACGTCGTGTCAATCACAAAATCTTTCAAATAAAATTTATATAAATTTTAAGAATAAAAATGAATTAGGTATAAAACCACATATCGATGATCTATTAGAAATAATCGAATATAATAAAAAATGTTTATGTCATTCAATTGAAATTATTTTTAATAATCATATTCTTAATCAACAATTATCTTATAAGCAAAAACAATCAATATTACGTATTATTTTACGTCGACAACAAATTTTTAATCAATATTTTTCTTAATTATTCATCTCCTGTATACATAATTTATTAAATATGAATTTAAAAAAAAATGGGTATTTCTTAATTCATATATGATTCACTATATTTAATAAACATCAAAAATAAAGATAAAAAAAACTTTTCTTACTGGTTATTTTGTGTTTTCTTAAATGCTTCGAGATGGAAATGTATAAAGTCGACATAATTATAAAGAAGAACGATAAAAACGAATAAACACGTGCTAACTTAATTCCTCTCTTTTTCTTCTGTTAATGCTTAGAAAGAATCCAAAATCACTGGAATAAAATATATAGTTATAAACTTTCTCACTTGTATTTTACTAAGAAACATACAGGATAAATAATAATGATTTATATTAATTACGACATTAATTCTATTCTTATTCTTTTAAATATACATGTATGTATACGCGAACTGATATCCAACTTTTATATACAATTATGAAGTAGACTATAAAAAAATAAAGAGAATAGTACTGCACGTACACAAGAAAAAATGTAATCATCATAAAAAAGAATTTATTGTTTCGTATATAATGATGAATACAAAAATTATTTGCAACGATTTCTTTTGTCAAGAAAATGAATAAAATACAATTCGATTCTATCATTCAATGATAAAATAATTATTTTATATTAAACGGTATTTTGTAATATATAATTAAATTCGGGTACATTCATTGTATTAATCAGCAGTATGCAATGTTTTATAAATGTATAATTATCACATGATAAATAATATTTTATTTGAAAATATAATGTATATATTTCAAATAATACAGTAATAATAAAAGTTATTTTTTTCTCATTAATTTTAATAGTGCATATAGATCAATATATAGATATGCTTAGTGAATGCTTCGTAATTTGATGACTGTATGTCATAGAATATTTGTTCCTCTTAATATGTCATAATCAAATATGGTTATTTGAAAAATTGGAATTTCAGAAATTTTTTTTCTTTATAAAATGTGTATTATTATTACTTAATAAATTATCAAATAGAACGAATTGTTAACCAACTAAGATTATTTTAATATTCTTCATATTATAAAAATTTTTAAAATTAAATCAGTAATCATAGTAAAACTGATATATTCATACTATATTAGTTTATCTGTAAATCTAAAGTATAGATAAGTAACAAACTGACAGTTTTGTATTATGACTTTTGTAAAACAGATTTTATCATTTTTTTGATATTTCAATTTCGAATATATTACAGATTAATACTGATATAAAACAAATTAAGAGGTACGGTTTCATTAGTAATATAGCATTACTAATCTTGACAGAATCTGAAATAGTAAATAATTAAATACATGTAATATTAGAAGGAATTTTTTATCTTGTTTGTTCTAAATAGTTGAATCACATAAAAATTTTGATTAAAATATCATATTGAAAATAAATTGTTTTGTCCTATCTAAATAGTTCAATATACATATTATTATGTAAAATTCATATATAATGAAATGATGTTAACATAAAATAGCTCTATAGATAAATGTATGTAACTTTTTTTTGAGTGTGACTGTACGGTGTACTTCGATTTTCCAAGATTATTTACAATCATCCTCTAATAATCGTTGTCATATCGGATCATTTTTTTTATTCAAAAAAGAAACGGTATCTTCGTATTAGTAATATGATGTATTACATCGATCATCCAAAAATATCCATATGGCGAACTTCGAAAATAAAATGATTGGTAATACCTCAATAAACATGTTTCATCGAATGTCAGTAAAGTAAGCCTGATCAATATGGACAAAAACGCATAAACACACATTAATGTCGTTAAATAAACTGGCATGTTTTTGTATGAAAACCTTGGACTATTGATGTTAGCCAAAATGACAATTTGTTTTGCCCAATGATAATATGTTTTTGTGCATTTTTACAATCAGGCTTTTGTTTAGTATATTATACGAAATTAGGAAGAGAAAGAGAAATGATGATTTTTTTTGCTCCGTGCGGGTTGTCTATGTGGTAAGAAGTAACCACACAAAAAAAGGTGTAATTAACCGATCTATGGCTTGATTGGTGGTTATATGATGGTAATAAGCAATCGTTATCAATAAAATATTAGGAAAAAAATAGGAGCGAAAATATTTTCAACTGTAAACCTATAGAAAAAAAAATGTTTACATAATATACGCTTGAATGATTTAAAGGGGTTATCGTTATTATAGCATTTTTATCAGAGACTATATATAGGAGGAAAAAACCGATAGTAATCACATTCATCGTTATCGATACGATTAGACACTCATATCTACTAGAATAACCAGTGATAATTTATAATCATGAGCTTCGATATTGGTCGTGCAATCTTCAATCAAGTTGATACCAATCGTGATGGTAACATCGATAAAAGCGAATTTCAACGATGGGCCAGCAGTAATAGCAATCGAGGTGGTGCTGGTCGAACTGGTGCATCAGGCTATGAATCAGCATCATTCGGTAGCTCTGGATTTGGTGCAGGTGCTGGTGTAGCTGGAGGTAACTTTGGTAGCTCATCAGGCTATGAGTCGTCATCCGCATCGTTCGGTAACGGTGGATTTGGAGCTGGTGCTGCTGGTGCTGGTTTTGGTGCCTCATCTGGCGCTGGTTTCGGCGGTGCTTCAAACTATGAATCATCATCATTCCAATCATCCTCAACAGGATTTGGTGCTGACAATGGTGCTAGCTATGGAGCATCAGCTGGTTTCGGTGCTGGTGCTGCTCTTGGTGGTGCATCAAACTATGAATCATCATCATTTCAATCACAAGGTCAAAATGCTGGTTTCGGAGGTCAAGCACAACAATCCTCATCATACAGTTCACAAACAAATGTTCAAACCTACCCAACTGATGCTCAAGGACTCTTCCAAGATGCAAACCCACAAATCATCCGTCGCCCAGCTCCAGGTGGTGTTCAAACCTACACACAAAACATCCGAGTTCGTTTTCTTCAACCACCACCAATCCCACCCCCAGGCGTAAGTCATTACTTTTTAATATTTTTAATTCTTTTATTATCTAAAAACTTTCTATTAAATAGCCACTCATCATCAAAGAAGTTCGTCCACCTCAACCACCCCCACAACCACCTCTTCGTATTCGTCAACAAGCTCCTTCTCTTCCTCAACCACCCCCACTCGTTCTTCGTGAAAGACCACCACAAATACCAGCTTCAGTTGCTTCACAAACTGTCATTCGTCGTTTAGCTGCTTTACCAGTTCCACCACGATCAGTCATCATTGAACGTATGCCACCCCTCCCACCTAAACCACGTACGTTATAATTGAAAGAAAAATTCTTCATAAATTATATTTAATATTTTTATTCTATCTACAGGTGATGTCATCATCGAACGATGGGTTCCATATGGAGCACAAGCTAAACGTCGTACAATTGTACAACGTGCACAAGCTGCTCAACAATATGCTAAACCACGTAATGTTATCATTCAATACGAACCCTCACAAGTACGTGTTGTTCGTCAATTCCAACGACTCGGTGTTACCCAATCTAACCCACAAGCTTATCTTCAACAATATGGTGCTTCACTCCTCACTTCAGCCGTACTTTTACAACAAGCTCGTGCTGCTGGTGTTGTCGAAGACATCGTAAGTTTTTTTGACTTTTTCTTAAGCTATTGAAAAACATTTATGATCGTATTTCAAATTTATTTAGTCACCTCCCGCTGTTGCTGGTGCTGCTGTTGGTTTCAGTGCTGCATCATATGGTCAAGAAAGCCAAAGTGCCCAAGCATCATCATCACGCTTTGAAAGCAACAGCTTCGGCTCAAATGCTGGTGCTAGCTTTGGTGGTGCTGGTGCTAGCTTTGGTGGTGCTGATGCTAGTTTCGGTGGTGCTAGCTTCGGTGGTGCTAATGCTAGTTTTGGTGCTGATGCTGGTTTCAGTGGTGCTGGTGCTAGTTTTGGTGCTGATGCTGGTTTCGGTGGTGCTAGCTTTGGTGGTGCTGATGCTGGTTTTGGTGCTACTGGTGCTCGATCTTCATCATATGAATCATCAAGCTTCCAATCATCAAGCAACGGTGGATTCGGTGCTGATGCCGGATTTGGTGGTGCTGCTGCTGGATTTGGTGCTGGTGCTGGTTTAACTGGTGGATTCCAATCATCTTCATCATCATTTGAATCCAACTCAGTTGGTGGTGCCGGATTCGGTGGTGCTGGTGCTAGCTTTGGTGGTGCTGATGCTAGTTTCGGTGGTGCTAGCTTTGGTGGCGCTAGTGCTGGAGGCAGTGGATTCGATGTTGTCGATGCTGCTTTCCGAAATGCCGATCAAGATCAAGATGGAAAACTTAACCGTGCTGAATTTCTTCGTTTCATTCAACAAGGTTTATAAACAATACATACCATTTCCGACACAAAGAGTTCAAACTGATTGACTATCATGACGTTTGAATATAATTTTTTTTCTAATTCGTAGTTATTTATTTAGTTTTTTTGCTTATTTCTTTATTGTTGCTTTTCAACTGTAACATGTATTTCGGTGATCATACTTTATTCTAATAAATATAAGTTTTTAAGACAACATATCTACATATCTTATGCTAAAAATATTGATATAATTAGTAGATGTTTATTGAATACAACACCATTGTCATGCATTTATCAAAATATATCTATAAAAATCGTTCTATTCTGTTTGTTCTAGTTGTGTGTTACTTTCAAAATCATTATCTTATGTTTTCTTCTTAAATTGTTATTATATAAAATCGAATAGATCTCCATCGAACAAAATAAAAAAAATTAATATTAGATCAAATGTTATCATCTTTATATTAACATGTTTAACATGTGTATAAAAAAGGAAAAAGTGAAATAGGTAATGTTAAATTGTCGATATCGTGAGAATATGCTTCTATTTGAGTTGTAAATAATAGACCCAATGAAACAAATAATAGATCACATTGTGAATATGGAATAATATCTAAATATAAGAAGAAAAAAAATTTTACATGTAAAAATATTCAAGTTTATTAAATACTAATTATCAAAAAATGTTCTATGTCACTGTAACTAGTATTATAATTATTATAACAAAAGATAAATTTTTCGTTGTCTTTTCATCAAAATGATTCATAGTGCAATTAAAGCATATAATGTCACTAGTATAACCTATGATAGCTCGTTTAATGTTTGTTTTGTAGTATAATACCTATATATTATGTATAAATTACGCAGAACTAATGACTTGTTTTTCAATAAAAATATATAGGTATCGAAATAAAAAAGAAATTATGGAATAAGTTTGACCTTTTTATTTAATGTATGATAGAAAAGTTTTAGAATATTATCGATAAGAATTCGAAATATATTTTTATAATAGTATAAAGATTAAAATCATTGACGTAATTGTAATACTATTTTTGATGATTAGGATGAAGAAAACAAGTCATGGCCTTGTTTTTTTCTTTTCTTTATGATACTAATGACATATCATGCAATGTAATCGTGATGACAGCAAAAAAAAAGGTACATGTTTCACCACACAGTTTAAATTAGTGGTATGATTAATAATTTGGATTGTTGTCGAAAAATAAATATATGAGCAATGATGCATGAAATAAACATAGTGAAAATGGTCAATTTGCCGCATTACTACATACCTAAATACCACAGAGAAGCAATAAAACCAAATTGAGCAATTAAACCAGCTAATGATCCTTCTAAAGTTCTTTTTGTACCTGGCCATTTTCGAATACCAATTTTTGATCCAATAATTGATGCAGCTGAATCTCCAATACCAACACTTATAACTCCACTTAATTGTGCTAAACGTTTACCTGAAAATTTTATATTTTAAAATGAAAAACTCCTATTCGAAATAAACTCACTATCATCAGCTATCCATACAGGATAAGATAATCCAATAATAAGAAATAAATGTGAAACCATTATTTGTCCAGTATCTTTTTCATTTTGATACATACTCCATGCATTACGTATAATATCTCCCAATGGAGCAATATTTTTTATTTTCATACACTAAAATATGAAAAAGGAAAATATTTATATAGTTCGAGTTGTCTTGTTTAGTTTGATATCAACTCATATTATTTAATCATGAGAAAATAAATTTTTTACCTCGAGTAATAGAAGTAAAACAATAAATGCAACAGAACACATTGTTAAAAGATGTGTATCAAATAAAATTCCGCTAGTATAAACAATAATTGCTAAAAAATGAAAATATTTTCTAATTATTGTTTGTTCATGTTTAATATTCAAGTTTTCTGTAATTCTTAAATGTAGACTAATAATCAATAGTGACATGATTGATACAATTAACCAGAATGAAAGTAGATAAAGCTAGAAAAATTTATAAATATATAAGAAGACACAAAGATTTTCATATAATTATTTATCAAATACTCACTCACTCGGTGTGGTTTTTCTAGAATATAATTAAATAACCATAAAAATGGATTTTCATTAACGAAAAAATATGCTTGTGGTAGAAAAACAATAGAAAATATTGTAATTAATGATATATAAAATTGTGTTGTAGGTTTTATTGTTGTTGACCATGGTACTATTTGTAAAATTGATACAATTAAACCGAATAAAAGTAAACACTAAAACATATTTATTGTTTTAAATAATTTAAACAAAAATTCTTATTCTTACTTCACAAATAACAACATAATCATGAGTAAGAATTGGTCGATTAATTATTTCCTATTTATCATAAAGAAAAAAATTAAATAATAAACAAAAAAAAAATTTTTTACGTCAAAACATGACCACCAATGAAGATTTATTGATAAAAAAAATCCACTACAACCCATCGATATCAACAACCATTCAATAAATGAACATGTTTTCGGGCAAAGTGTTGGACCAGCAATAAATATCGATTTACTCAAAAGTAGTGAAAGTACTAGAAATAAACATAATCCAAAATCTAAATAAGAAAACAAAAAGAATGATATATTTTTAAAATATTTTTACAGAAGGATAACAAGTAACGCTCGTCCGAGGACTCACTTAGCTCATTCTCGTAGAAATGTATCCTCTTCGCATTTAATGGAAAAACAATTGAAAATCGTGAAAAATCAAGTTTCGATGTTTTTTGATCTTTCCTCTCATCATGGTCACCCAACAGATCTCAGATTCGAACTCCTCGCATAGAAATGACTTTTATAGAAAATCGATCTTCGATGTTTTTTTGACCCTGTGGACAGACAAGCAAGCAAACAATTAATTTATACCTTCATAAAAAATCATCATAAGCATTGCTGAACCATTAAGTATTGTTACTGTACATCGTAATATAATAAGAGAAAGATTGTATTTAGGAGAATGTGGGAAAAATATTCGTATGGAATATACTACTGTCCATGTTGCTATAAGACTATTTTGAATAAATATTGCTTTAGAAAGTTCATCTAATTGAAATGAGAAAAAGAAAGATTTATTTTCTTTTTTTTTTGTTTGTTTATAACAATAATTTACCATCTGTTTTTAAATAAATAATAAGCCAAGTAGATACAAAACAAATTAATACAAATAAAGATTGAATATCAAATTGATTACGGTTACAACCACTAACATAAAATAAATTTATTGGAATTAAATATTAATATAAATAAATCTTACCGAAAATTTGAACTAAATTGATTTGACATTGATAAAAAATCTAAAAAATAATCACGTATCTATTAAATCATTTGTTAATCAATGGAATAAAAATAGAATTAGTATTAAAATTAAAAAAATATTATTATCATCACATGTTCTCATTTTGAATCTTTTAAAAAGCTATTAATTTTAAATCTTGTAAGATCTCGTTCATAACCATTATCGTCAGTTGCAAGCATGGAAATTATTTTTCCTAACAAAACTGTAAATTTGAAACCATGACCTGAACAACCACTAACCAAAAATACATTTGATTGGTCAGGTACTTGATCAATAATAAAATCATGATTGGGTGTATTTGTATATACACATGTTTGACTATAGGTTATATCTGTACCTAAATTTGGAAAACGTTTTTTAGCATAACGACGAATTTCATCTAAATAATTTTCATCAACTGGTGCACGTTCAGCATCTAAATCTTTGATAGCTTCACCACAATGATGATATGCTAATTTAATTCCAATTATTTGACCATCACTTGGAAAACCATAAAGATTTTCAGTTGCATCAATCCATACAGGAAAAGTTCCATTCGCTTGAAAATATTCTTCATGATCATTTATATTAAGATAGACAATTTGTTGTCGTGTTGGTGTTAATGGTAGATTTAAATCTTTAAATAATGAACTCATCCATGGACCAGCAGTGACTATGACACGATCATATTCTTCTTCACCTGAAGATGTTTGAATAAATGTTTTATTCTCTTTTGTATATATTCCTTGAACTTTTGTTTCTTCATGAATAATAGCACCATGAGTTTTAGCTAAACGAATATTTGCTTGTACACAACGTGTTGCACGTAAAAATCCACTATCTTTTTGATAAATAGCTGCTTCATTTGATTGTAAATGAAATGCTGGATATTTTTCTTGTGTTTGTTTAGCAGTTAATCGATCATAAGGTAAATTCGTATCAATCAATGATTGTTCAGTAATTCGCACATCTTCATCAGTTTTATCACCAAAATAAAGACCACCACATCGAACAAATAATTCTTCATCAGCTTCTTTCTCTAATTCAAACCATAATTTATACGAATCACTCATCATTTGTGTATATAAAAGATCAGGATACGTATAACGAATAATTCGTGATTCACCATGTGAACTTCCATTCTCATGACCTATACGAAATTGTTCATAACCAATAGCTTGATGACCAGCACATGCAAGAAAGCGAAGTGCTGCACTACCCGTTCCACCTAAACCGACAACAGCAATTTTCATCTAGAAATATATTTTATATAGGACTTTTATTAGAAAATACACACAAAAAATGAGAAATAGGAAAATTAACGAATCATCTTTTGTAATTTTGCAAAAGCATAACGCGTACTACGAAGAAAACCTGCAGTAAAAAGACCTTTAAATGTTTGTGTTAAACTTGATCTTTTAACAATTGATCGTACAGCATGTTCAATTTTTTCTTTTCGTTGTGTACTAACACATAATTTTCTAATTACTTCTTCTGTATCTTGATATTGTCGTGTTTTAAATGTTGCTGATTCCATTATATTATATATAACATATTTCGGTAATGCAAGTAAACGTTTAAATATAGCTGTTGGTGTTACATCTTGTTTAACAATTGTATCTAATGTTCGAATTTTATTCCAATGTAAATATGTATCTGTTAACATTAAATTTGAATAAAGATCAATAAATAAATCAATTTGTGGTATAACTATATTCGATATTTTATTTTTATTCTCTCCGATATACATACGAAAATCACCTTGATAAGAAAGTGATGTTATCTTAAGAAATAAATCTTTCAATGTAAATTCTTCAGGTAAAAGAAGTAAGGCAACATGAAGGGCACTACTTAAATTTGTTTTTAAAGCATAAATTAAATCTTGATCTGATTCATCTATTTTTATCACACGTACAGGCTTCTAAAATAAACAAGTAGAAAAGAAATAAAATTAAATAAATATGGATATACAGCAAAAACTAAGGTCAAAAGAACATCTAGTAAAATATTATTGACATTACTATGAAAGCATTTGTTAATCAACTGGGAATTTTTGAAGCTTTTTGTCATTTAACTTTCCTACAATTCAATTTTTTTCCAAAAGCTCAAACCTGATGGAAATCTCTATTTGGGATGAGATGAGATAATTCAATAGGTACTCTGACGACTTATCATGATAATTACATACAATATGTTCAGCTAGGAAAATCAAAACAATTATTTCAATGAAGAAAATAGTACCTGCAGACGACCAGCAACATAAAGTGTTTCCCAATCAAGTAAATCTCTAATTAAATGTTTTCGTGTAATAATTCCATATTTATAAAGTGTATTAAAATCATTATTAAATTTAACATATGGGTTAAAATAAATTCTCGCACCTCGTGTTTCTTGCATTCGAGTTATTGTTGAAACACCAAAGTATCTTAAAAATGAATAATGATATGGGTTAATTTTTAGGTTTTCTTCATGAAATTTAAATGAATTATTGACAGTTAAAATAAGATCAACTTGAGTTTGTTGTGCTGTTTTTTTGATATCTTGTTGTTGTTTTAAAACACCAGAACCATAACCAAAAGCTAATGTTATTTGTTGCTGATCAATATGTCCATTTGTATTGTAAGTTGAGGGAAAATTAGTAAGGATTTCGGAAGAAAAATTTGTCATTGTTCACGAGGTTTTGATGATAAACTAATTGATTTAACACCTTGACCTTGAAGTGTTGCTAATTGTGATTTACCTCGTCGAAGAAGATATTCAATATAAATTAAATTATCTTTTGGTTTTAAATGTTTATATTGTTTGAATTCAGTACGTGCTATATCTCTTAAACCTTGTACTTGTCGACTTAAACGCATATAGTCAGCATATAGACGAAGAACATCTCGAACAAGTTTAGAACGACCGACAGTCATAGATCATCTTTAATAGAATAATGAGAAGAATATAAGTAAATAAAATATCATATTTAGTCGTGTCGTTTTTTATTTTATTATAAACATCGATACATTGAGATTTTATTGTTTTTCAATTTTTTTTCATAGGTAAAGAATAACAACAAAATTAACAAAAACAAAACAATAGAATTATTCCATTTGTTCGGCTTCCGAATGTTCCTCTGTTACTACGATTTTTGGTGCACGACGACGTATAGCATTTAATCTTTTTGTTGTTGTTACTGTTGTTCCAATTTTTGTTAGAAGTTCTCCAGCATCCTCACGTTTAGCCATTGCTTTTTGTACCATTTCAATTTCTTCCATGGGTTTTGTAGCATTTGGCGCTCGTACGAGATGTATATAATCACGTACTTCACGTAAATCAGCTGCTTTTCGATCAAGTGTACCTTGTCGAAGACTATAAAATAAACAAAATATTATATGTATTTTTTTTTAGATTAAAATTCTATTTCTACCGTTTCATAATATGATGTCGTTCTCGTTTAGTACGAATTTCTTCAATTCTTCCCATAGCTTTGACTAAATACGATATATAAAATAAAATTATTTGATTGTTTAATTACATTTCATTCACTTACCTGTATTTTGCCATAATTCACGATCGTATTTTACTGGTTCATGACGACGTTTTTCAAATTCAAATGTTGTATCTATTGTCAAATCTTTTCCAGTAAATTTTCGATGGGCTTTTGTCCATCGTGATTTACGTGGATTCCATTTTTTCTTAAATGCACGATGACAACGTGATCGACAAAATTTAAAAATCTATTTTTTTTTGAGTTCCAAATCAATCAAACAAAGTAGAGAAAAATAATCTTTTACTTTGCAATCATTTCGTACAAATTGAATGCCATGACCAGGCCATACAGTTGAAGAACAATAATAGCATGTTTCGAGACGCATACTTTTAAGTGTTTTTTTTCAAGGTCTGAAAGAAGAGAAGATAATGAGATAAAAAGATTTTATTCAGATTATATGATAGATGTTTGTTTTATTATATTAAAGACAACGATCTCGTATAATAGAATACATATATTCAACAATAGCATTAAATATCTCAGTTCCATCTATTTCAATTTCTTTTGGATCAGTCAAAAATCCGACGGTACATGTATCGTCAAGTGTCTTATTTTGATCGAAGCACATTGGTAAACCTTTGAACATTGGTGATAATTCAAAAGTCATTGCATGCGGCATTAATGTAGCAGCAAAATCAATACTAGTTCCAGTACATGGATATAGTAAACGTGATGCTTGTCCAACTCTATATGTTTTCTTCATTACACTTGACACAACTTTACTACTTCTATTAAATAATTCATCATAATTCGATACTTTTTTCGATAATGAATATGTCCATGGTAATAACCAAAATCTTCCATAAGCATGTAAATTAAAATAAGCATAAAATTTTTGATTAGAAAGTTGTTGTTGTCGAAGAAAATTGACAACACTTATGACTTCATTTTCTGATGCTGGACTTGGTCCACGATATGAATGTGAACATGCATGATCTGACGCGCCAATCGTATTATTCCATTCATAGGGAAAATTCCGATTAAGATCTATTCCATAACAAGATTGATCACCATTCCAATAATCTGAATGAGGTGTTGGTGAACGATTTTTTCTCCAAAGACGATTTTCATGTCTTGAAAATTCATAACCATCTGGATTCATCAATGGTAACATATATATATCAAAATTATATAAAATTTCTCGAACTTTAACATTTGTTTTTCTTAATTTAAGAAATTGTATAAGAATATAATTTGCTACACCAATTGATAACCATTCTCGTGCATGCATACCTCCATCAATATATATAGCATATTTACGTTGTTGATGTCTCCGATGACTATGACCAAGAATTTTTATAATAGTAAGCGTACGATTTTCATATGTATGACCAATTGTATATGAACGAATAAATTTTTTTGTTAATAAAGATGTTTTAAGTAAATTATACCAATCTTGTTGTTCATCATATGAGAGAAAATGTTGATAATAAGTTTGATCTAATGGATTATCTGATGGAACCCATCGTTTTGATCTTCTTTGAGATTTTTTCCATGTTTTTTCGGGATTATTTGTAATAATTCGAAAGGAACCATGTAATCGATGTATAAAATGAGTAAAATCTGATAGATAATTATTTGGTATAAGAAAAACATATGATGATTGATCGTAATCATGTTGAAGAAGATCGATTAATGGAAACGATTTTTGAATATGTAATAAATGATTATCTTTATGTGGGAATTTAACAAGCCAAACATGTTCTGCTTGTAAAATAGTTAAGAAAAACAAAAAGAAAATAGCGATTTTTGTTTTATGAACCATGTATATGAATAGAAAACAGTAAACAATACAACAAAAAAAAGAAGACTAGTCGTACTACAACAATTAGTTTTATCTTTTTACATCAATTGCTAAGGTCATATATAGTCATTTAAAGGTTTGTACATTCTAGTTTTATTCGTCTATTTTATGTATTGATGAATAAGACCATCATGTGCTGCACTAGCACGAGATGGGATAAATGCCGTTGTTAGAAAGTATTTCATCATGTCTATAGTACATTCTTCATCGAGGATCATATTACAATGAATACACAAAGAACTGAATAAGATAAAAAAATCAACACTAAATACATATTTTTACAGTTAAAAGATCGTTCTTTTCTTCGAAGAAGAGAAAAAAAAAGCACCAAAAATATTAAATACAAAATAAAAGTTAACATACAAAATTAATGACTTGATGATGCTATGTCAGCAATTTTATTTGATGTTGCTGTAAAAGAAAGTAATAAGAAATATGATATGAAATTAACATTTGAAATCGAAAAAGAATATTAAAAACTTACGTTCTTGTACACCTAATTTTTGAAGACGTAATTCAAGATCAGCAAATGGATCTGTTTCTGGTACTTTAATAACATCATCAGCAATCGGTGTATTAATTATATCGACATTAATTGGTAGACTGGTTGCTGGTGTAGGTGGTATTGGTTGTTTTAATAATTCTTCAAGTTCATCTTCTAATTCTGTCATATCAGTTGTATCATTTGTAACTGGTCGACGAAGTGCTTCATCGATTTCGCTTTGTGTATCGAGCATCTATAATTGAAAGAAAAAAGAGAGAATTCGATTAAGAATTTAAAAATAAATCTTCTTACTTCATGTACTTCATCAATCATATCTTCAACTGCATCAGGTGTAAGACCATTTTTACGTAATAATTCTTTATGAGCTTGAACTCCTGATGAATAAGCATTGATAATCTTAAAAAGAATAGATAGGTTTTTTGTTTTTTTTATGATTAATAATATTGAAAAATAAATAATTACCAATGACGAACAATCTGTTTGTTCAATTTGTGTTAGAACACTATTAAGATGTTCAATCATATTTTCTTTTTTATCATGTTCAAGTTCAAGTAATTTCTTTTTACGTAATAATTTCTTCGCTGCTGTACGATTGCTATTTTTTAAATGACGATAAATGTCTGCTAGTAATCTAAATAAAATCGATTTTTAATAAATTGAGAAGAGGAAAAAATCTAATTTACCCTTCAATTTGTTGATCAGTTTTCTTTAATTGTTCTTCTAAACGTTGTTTTGAATGACGTAATCTAAATATATTTGAATAGGAAAATAAATTTCTTCTCTCTTTTACTTACAAAAGAACACTAGTTTCAATTTCAGTTAATGGTCGAACGATCGATGTTCCAGGCATAATAAATTTAACAACCTTAAAAAAATGTAATTAGGTAAAAATAATCATAATAAATAAAACTATTTTACTTTAACATCTTTAGCATCTCCAATATGATCTATTAAAATTTTCTTATCTTTTGTTAATGTTGATATAATTAAATTAATTGAATTTTCATCGATTAGTGTACATCGACGGCATGTCTCAATAAATGTTGAAAATGAAACAACACAATCAAATGTTGGAACATAAACATGAGATTGTAATGTGTCAATAACTTGTTGAGCTTTTTTCTAGAATAAAAATAAATATTTTTAATTTCATAATTAATGAAAAAGTAAATTCTTACATCAACAAGTTCTTTAATAATAAAAACTTCTTGATCAATTGGTGTTCTAGGAGACATCCAACCAGTTAATGGACTTGCTAGTTTATTAAATGTCCATGATGACCATGATTGTTGAGAATTAGCATAATCATTTGTTGATATAAGCCGATTTTGTTTAGTTAATTCTTCAAATATTTTATCAAGACATTTTGGTGTTCTTCCTTTACGACGAAAACGTGAAACAATTGTTGGTATATCAATTTGTAAAAGACCATGATCTTCACAATAATCAATTATTGTTTCACTCCAAAATTTCATTTTAGCATCATAATGAACAGCATTTAAATCACGATCTTTAAAAAAAGAAAATAATGCATCCATACGTTCATCATTATGCCAGTCGGAAGGTAAACGATCCCAAGATTCAATTTGAGATGGTTTGGGTGTAAGTGATGTCATTGATTAATTAATCTAAAATATCACAATAGTTATTTCGTATTTGATATTCAGAGGACAAGAGTTCACATGATACAAGCAGTGCATAGAACGAATAAATTTGCAAGACATATGATTGGTGGATTATCGTGTGAGTCAACCTCAACCAATTAAATGAATAGATTAACAAAATTTATTCTTTATTTTTTCGAAGTCCCTGTTTTTTTTTATTGATCAATCTTATATAAATAATCTATGAATTATATTTAATTATTAGATATATCCTCTTTTATTTCATATATTTACAAATCATTTTATCTATGAAAATTTCATATTCAAGAGTTTGCTGACATCTACTGAAGATCTCATCACTATATTTGATCACTGAATTCGATCGAAGAATTAACTAGAGGAAATGAATAATTGATTTCAACTCCGACTGTTTTAATCAATGAAAGAGTTGTTTATAGACTTTGTAATCTTTCTACTGTAGCATGCCATACAAGGCAATGAAATATAATGTCCCAACTGAATCAATGATAGAATGATATGAGTTAAATATTAATTTAACTGACATGTCTTGAATTAAAATAAAGAAACGCTACGAAGAAGAATTATTAATCATTCGATAAGTAAAAAGCTATTAAAAGAGATGAAAGTAAATCAAAGGGCGCTGATATCAATGAAATTTTTGTTTTGATTAATTTTTCTACTAATATACTTAATTCTATGCATAATTAAATGAATACAAAAAGTAATGTATTATAATATCAAATGTCCTATTCAAAACTTCGACATGCTCCTAGTAATAGTATCATTGATATATCTAATCACAATCAAAATCGAGCACGATCTCAAACACGAGTATCGTCTTATTTATCTCATCATCACTTATGTTCTTCGTATAGTGATGATAGTCTTGATAAAGAATTTATTGAAAATACAAAACAGACTGTTGATAAACTTTTTCAACAAACAAATTTTAATAAAATACTTGATCAAATTCAATGTACATTGCATCCAGTAATTGAACAATTTCGTCAACAAATTCAACGAAAAAATTATTTATCAAAACAAGATCGATTTAAATGCATGAAATCTTGTGCAAAATTTATTATTGAAACATTACGCAATGAACAATGCGAGTTTGATTCTCAAATCACTGAACTCTATCATTTACAACGAGTACTCAATCATTTTCTATCCAATCCACGTGCTAATAAATCCGTACAGACTAATGAACAATTAGAAACAGATATGATGCATTTACAAATTGATAATAAAAAAAAACTATCCAAAAATTCTCTTCTACCATCCGATGAACGTTCTAATCTACCAAAGCAATCTAAAGATAATCTAACTCGTCAAAAACTTTATCATAAATCAGTTTCTAATGCATTTAAAAAACTGAATGATGATCTTCAAAAATTAAATCATGAAACACCATTTCAATCTCATTTATCTAAATATCATAAACATCATCATAAATAAAATTATGTTACTAAACAAAAACGAAAATTATTCTTTCTTTATTTGTTTTTCATTTTCGCATCTTTGATATAAACAACAATTTAAAAATGTTCTTAACTAAAAATCGACCTGTACCTCGTCTTAGTACAACAAGTACTGGGCGTCGTTTAACAACAATTTTTTTAAAACATTCAATTTCACGTGGTAGTACTGCTACGAGTAGTATTGGTTCAATAACAACACCAAAAACTGGTTCAATTCTATCTGATTTCAATGTATTAGATGAACATGATTATGAAATAACACGTCAAGTAATGCATGATCTTATTGATGAAATTCAAATTGAAAAACCTTTTATTAGTTTTAATGAAATGTTTATTGATCAAGATACTATTATTGGTTGTTTATTACGAATATTTAATGAATATGGTAAAAATATGGATGGAATACAACGAATAACACGTGAAAATATGTTGAAACTCTTAGATGATTCAGATCTATTTGATAATGAATATACATCATCAATATTTATAAATGATTGGAATAATTTACGTAAACAAATGATGAAAAAGAAACTTTATGAACGAAAAACAAAAGATTTTGATTTTTGTGGTTTTATTCAATTGATTGATATGATTAAAATTCGTTTACATAAAAGTAAAGATGAAATTTTAAAGAAAATTATTAGTTCATCAATTTATAATGATGTTATTAAATTAAAAGAAATTCAAGATAAAATTCAATTAGGTTTATTACCATCAATGACAACACTTATTAATCAATATAATAATGTAAGAAACTGAATTAACCCTTCTTAGAAAAAACAAGAAAGTCACTTCATAGTTCCTCTAAGTAAATTTTGTTAAGAATGAGCCTATTTATTATAATTACTTTCTTATTCTCGATATAGTGAGCGATTATATCTGGTTCCATGAGTTATAATAACAATCTCTGAAATGCGAGCAACATATGTTCTATGATTTACATGCAAAGCGAGAAACGATGATGCTTAATGGTATTACGTTAAAATAAACAATTATGGAAAACATAAACGGAGAAGGTGGATTAATCGTGCATATTTAATAGAAAAAATGTTAGGCAATAGTAACAGAACTGGTGTAATATATCAACGGTTTTTGTATTTATAGTCAATGACATTAAATTATGTCAACAAATCGAAAGATAATGAAGAAGAAAAAGATAATGGAGAAATTTTACCAATGTTTAGTAACGACGCAGTCGGAGTCATATTCTATTATATAATATACTTGAAACTCATCAGGAATATCAGATTCTATCCAACAGATATAGATTGTAATAAAAATTTAAGAGTCTTACAAGAATAAACATCTCTCTACATACTGAATACTTATGATTAGTTTCAATGATGCTCACATCCGAGATGTTTTAATGTATTCTATATTTGTGAATGAATGTTAGTTAAATTAGTATGCTTGATGAACCTCCTTTGTAATTGGTTTCCTTTTCCTCTTATGGATCTACTATTGATGTTTTTGAATTAATAGGCGCAAATAAAAACGAATGATCGACATGTGTCACGTAAAAAGTTGAGAAAAAAACGGAAAAAGAAATTAAAATTATCAACATCTCGTAGCAAAAAAAGAAATCGAAAGATTCATAAGAATAAATCGATTAAAACATTACAACAAAATGATGCAATCTCAACACAAGTGGAGGAAAAACAACAAACAGAAGTATTATCAAAAGATGTAGCAAAACTTAAAACATTGCACATGTTTGAATCATGGATAAAACGTGATGAACTTGATGTAAGCAATTTATTTATAATGAATGAACTTGTGCTCTTTTATTTCTAGAAAGAATTAATGAATAAATTATTCGACTTATTTAAATTAGCATCTGAACAATTTCAACATGGTTTAATTCGACAAAATGTACTTATTCAATGGCTTCGTGCATCACATGTTATTCCAAATATATATTCAGTGAATATTATTGGTATTTCTAAAGATTTATATTTCTTTATTTCTCACTACAATATCTTTATGTTTATAGAAAGTATTCTATCGAGTGTTTTAGCTCGTTATATCAACGTTGGTCTATATAAATTAGATACAAATACGTTTGATTGGAATGGTTTTCTGGATTGTATTCACCTTTTAGCAAAAGAAATTCATTTATCATTAAATGAATTTGTTAAGAAGATGCTTATAGCTGATGAATTTTCATTTCAAACATGGCGAACTGAAATAGAAGATATTCCCGAAGTTGGTACTAATAAAAAATCGGATCGTTCATGGGATGCTAAAAAAGTTCTTGCTGCTGTTAATATTATGCGTGATGTTGTTGAAGAAAGTCGTAAATTACATTTAACTGATGATGAACGTAAACGTTTACGTTCACTCTATAAAGAATTTGCAACATTTGCATATCGTCGTCAAAGTTCACATTTAGAAGCACGTTTAACAAATTCTGTTTTAAGTAATTGGATGCGTGAATGTCGAATATTCGATGATAAATATACAATCAATGAGCTTGATAAAGATTTTATTTCAATATTAGGAGATTTTACATTAAATGGTGTTTATCCACAAGGCACACGTGATATTGATTTCGATGGTTTTCTTATATTAATACAAACAATTGCTTCACATAAACATATTCGAGCAGATGATTTTGTTCAAATGATTTTTGCTGGACCACGTAGTCCATTACAAAAAACAAGTGAATTCAATGAGCATATGGATCGTACAAAAATTCAGACAAGTCAAGGTATTTGAAATAATAGAAAAAAAAGAAGAGTATTAAAAAAAATAAAAAAGAACGTTTTTAAATGTGATCAATGATTTGTTTATTTTTCTTATGATGAATTGTGACCACACGAATTATTTTTCTAGAATAAAAACAAAATAGATATTGAATATTTGAATTTAATAAAAGAATTTGGTTAATCATACTTCGTATGTACGTGCTTGTTCCATTGATTGAATTGTTTCATCACGTTGCGCACAAAGTGTATTAAAATTCTTTTCTGTCCGTCCCATAGGATGAACGTGATAAGGTCCAGGAATTCTTTTTGGTAAATCCCATGTTCCAATATATTCACCAAATGGTGATCGTTTTGATCGTTCTACACCTGGTAAAAGACGTCCATGATCATTAGCTACAAAACTACGGCTGTCTGTTGATACTATTGCAGCTGGATGCTAGAATAAAGAAAAATTAATTTTAGAACGATTTTCGTCTTCTGTGTTACTAACCACGCCTGGTTGAGGATCTTTTGGTACTTGATACATTTGTAAACGTTTTGGTGTAAAAGATTTTTCATATTGGGAAGCACTGTAGTTTCGAGCCATGTCTTCGTTGTAATTTTTGAATAAACAAATGATAGAATCGTTGTGGTTGCCATAATCATTGTAAAAATAAATGTTATTGTCAGAGCAACGGAAAGAGGTTCGTAGAAAAAAAAAGTATGTCGTTAGTTATCAATGTAATCAAATATAAATATATTATGATTTTAATTACTTTGTATTAAATAAAAAAGTATCAAATTTTCATTAATCAAATAATAATATTATTTATTTCTGAATTAGTCATTGGCTAATGCACGAGAGTCAAAGACAAAAAAAGAAAAAAAGAAAAGAATCACCAGAAATTTCAACATAAATGTTGGGTAACAGAAACCACAAAAAAAAGAAACAAACTATCTGCTTGTATCGAGAAGAAACGAGGAAGAAAGATTTTTTAAGATTTGTTGCTGTCACATATCAAAGAATAAGAAATAATCTTCTATAGATATAGATATATAGATATGTATATAAATATACAAAAAAGAAAAGAAAAAATTAAATTACAAAAGTTCTTCATCTTCATCATTAAAATGATGATTATTAGGTGGTGATGATGATGATAATGTTTCACATCGAAATACAGGTGTACCTAATTTAATAGGTGCCGCACCGCGTATAGGTACACATGTTTGACTAAAATATTCAATCATACGTGAAACACTTGGAAATGGTCTTGAACATTCTCCAAGAATATAAACACCTGCTGTATAACATATTCGCATATGCATACAACTTTTTGTAGTTCTATATGAGAGAAGCCAAAAAAAAATAAATTCTTCAATGAAAAAAAAACATCATTTATTTTACCTAATAGATAGTGAATAATCATTTTGATTTCCACTTTCACTTTGACGTACAATAAAACTACCAGGTGGACGTGTTTGTAAAATACTTTCAGCTGTTCGTCGTGACATTGCATAATGATACCACCTAAATAAATATAAAAATTTCCATTTTTTTTCTTCTTCTTGTGAAATGTGAGATCAACACTTACAAATAACGATCAATTGGAATTGTTGTCTCAATATCCGATGTTAATGGAACGAAGTTACGATTGTTTATCTTGTTGATTTCTATTCAAATAAGAGAGAACAAAAATGAAATTTTTTCAATAGACTAGAATAATTTTAGATTTATTTAGGTATAAAAAGCAACAACAATCTTTTGTAAATTGTTTGCTTACCTCCGATGTTTGTACTACTAATATTATTTTTATCGTCTGGTGAACATGTGCTATGTCGACAAGTACTAATCGTAGGAGAAACCATAGGAAATGGTGGTGTACAATGTTGTTTTGATTCTTCTGTACTTGGCATCTTTTGTAATGAATTTCCATTACGATTAGATGTTGATAACGGGGGAGATGAAAGACTATTGATAAGCGATGTTTGTAAAGTATCCCATGGTCGTTCATATGCTATTGGTGATTCTTGATTAGTTATCAATTGTGTTTTAGGTAGAGATGATGCTGAAACACTAGTATTACTACATCGAGTTGATGAACTTAAACGTTTAAATCTTTGTAATGCAGCCTAGAGTAAATGATAATAAAAAAAAAAAGAAAGTTTATGACCTTTGTAAATAATCGCTTATCATAAAAAGGACCTACTTCAAATGACATAGGTTTAGTATCATCTGTTATCAATGGTGATTCAGTTGATGATGATGTTGTTGATAATGACGAGATTGTACTACTATGTGAAGTAATATTTGTTGATTCTTGTCGATTTTCTAGAAGATGTGATAGATCAACTTTAGCTGGTGCTGTATTGACTCTTTGTGAACGTTCATTTGACGGTGATGATGTTGCAAAAACAAAACTGCGTGATGTATCTGTACCCGAACGAACAATATGTGCATTGAGACAATAAGAAATTTTTTTCAGAGAAGGATCAAGATTTTCAACAATTAAATTATTGTTATTGTTATTATTGTTGTTGTTATTATTATTAATATTAAAGGATCGATTTCGAGCATTATTATTATTATTAAGATTATTATTACTAGTGCCACATTGACATGCGATATTAGTTGCTGTTGGCATTAACCCACCTGGTGGTAATGGAGGAAGTGAAGGTGGTGAAGGTTCACGAAGTGTAAATGATTTTTTTGTAGATGATGATGTACGTGCTGAACGAGTTCGATGAAATGGATTGCTGTTATTATTATTATTAGATGTATAAGATAAAGATGTTGAACGACTGTTAGTATTCGATGGATGAAGTAGAGCATCAGTTAGTGCTGTAATTGTATTTGATGTTGATGTTGATCGTTGTTCACTAAGTAATTTAAATTTTTCTTCTTGTGTTTTTAAATCCCATGGTGAACAATATGATTCGTCTACGACACCATGTGATTGAAAAGGTGAACGCGATGCTGTTGCTGCACTCATTGATGAACTGTTGTTGTTGTTATTGTTGTTAGTATTATTTGAAAAATCGGTCAATGTACGATCAATAGCATCTAAAGAGGCACTTATATCTATATAGGTATGTAATTTTAAATAATAAGTCATACATGACAGGTCGAGTAGTTATGACGGGAGGGCATACACCTCTTTTTTAACTACATATACATACGTATAATACACGCGTGCCCGTCAAATGAATAGGTGAACAGCTGCAAGAAAAAGTAACTCAGCTGAGCAGAACAAACGATGAAGTATTCCATCTATTCAATGTGCCCCGGACATTCATTATCCAACGGCGAACAGAAAAAAAACGAGAAGGAAGGAGAGAAAGATATAAATATATATATATATATATATATATACATGTATACATATGTGTATGACCGATGTTGTTGCATGGTCTCTCAATGAAAACAATCTGTCTATCTTTTTTTTCTTCTTTCCAGCAAAAAAAAATTGAGACGGACAATGCTTGACGAATAAGGTCAAGAACTATCACAATAGTCTAAGTAATTCTATATGCTGATTATTTCCCATTTCGTCTGTCTCATTCTATCGTGATGAGTTTGTTGTGGTTGTCGGCAAGACAATCATGCACTCGTTTTTTTTTCACTTACGTAATTGTACGAACAGACCAACGACGATTGATTCAATTGTTGATCCGCAGAGCGGGGGAGAGAAAAAGAAAGAGTGATAGCAAATAACCGACTAATTCTTTATTTAACTCTTACACGTCTACAAAGGCATATAACACGTTCTGTTCAATCACCCGCCTTCACAATAGCGTAGTTCAGTGAGTCTCTCTCATAGCATACTACGTTTATTTTCTTTTGTCTGTTTTCAATACAGAAAAAAAAGAGAAAACGTTCTTTATTTTACATTCTCCCTTTTTTTTCTCCTCTATCCAATGATTTAAGTGAATGATGACATCTAATCATAGAGACTGATTGGTACGATACTATGTAGTATACGATATATACAACCATAGTGAAATTAGAATAAATGATTATACTCATATAAGCAACAAAAGGGCAAGTCTACAAACACCATCAATCGTCTAATGGCACATACATATTGTCAAATACAAATGAGTGCAATCGTCTTAATACATATATACATACAAATATATGTATAGAACGTTGACCCCACCCCAATATGTACATACTAGTCTTATAATATTCGTTCGTCATATCTCAATTGATAGGTTAAGATTGAAAGTAAAACCTTGATAGACAAAGAAGAGTAGAGAGAGTATGTTATTATTATTACAAAACTTTGCGTTTTTTTTATATAGTGTTCTGTTCATATGGTAATGATGAGAATATCCATATATAAACTCAGCGGGATACATCAAACATGTGAACAGCTGCAGCTGTTTCTTTATTTCGCTTTTTTTTCTCTTCTTCATTCACTTCTCATGTTTAATTTCACTCGAGATATTGTTATGATTATTCTCTACTGGTGGTAACTAACTTACGTTGATGATGATGATGATGATGTTGCTGATGATGCTGCTGCTTGATAAAAGACGATTCACAGCCATTCTCCTTGGCAGCATTATTGCCATTTGATGAATAGGAAAGAATACTAGGCTATAATAATAATAAAAAAAAGAACAATCAAAGTATTAATAGTAAAACAAGAAATCCAATCGGGAAATGTAATATATAGTAAAAGAAAGCACATTCACCGATGTTCGTTTGCGTTCTTTTCTCGTATTGTCAGCAAAACAAGCCAACATTGTGTTTGATTCGTTCGTTCATTCAATCATTGATGTTACAACGATGGTCGAGGGCAATAGTATTATTATTAGTCGAATCACGCATCATCGTTGTCGATTATGTCACAACTTTAGTGTGCGCACATGCACAAATGAATATTTATTTAATATGCCATTTATAGCTGACAGTTTATTCAATGGCTTTCGTATATATAATGTATATATCCCTTCAAATAGAGTCTTGCCAGAGAACGTTGACAATAATAACGATGATGATGATGATGATGGCCTTACTGACCTCGATAAATAAGTGAAGATCTGTCTGCACACATAGACAGTCGAACGGGTGAACTTTTGAGATAAAACGTGTAGGATAATTAGGATAAATGTTTATGTAAAGTAAAAAATGATTTGTATTACTTTCAGTATTGAATCTCAGTAAATGAATATAGAGTTAGACAGAAATGGCAATCATTAGTTACGTATGTCTTTAGATATGCTCTTTTCTTTTATCAAGGTAGACATTTGGTGCGAAGGACAGAACTGGCGTCCGAAATAGAGAAAAATTCTCATTTTTGATGACAAGTCTATGAAAGATAGAGAAAATGACCTTCATTTTTCATGCCTCATTTGCACATTTATAAAACTGGCATATAGACGACTGGTATTGTCAATTTCTGTCTGTATTATTAATGGTTTACATCAGAAGGACACACTAAACAATCTATTGAATGATCCGATTACAAAAAATACGTTTTTAATAGGACATTTTCGAGCGACAAATAAGATTAAAATGCAATAAGAAAAGTACAAAGAGCGAGAGCATATTATATGGGACGGGGGGTCTATTTGAGTTCTATATATAGTAAATTTACCTGTTCTGTATGAATATTATTTGATTGTTTAAATGAGGATGAAGTTGGTAAAGCTCGATCAAATAAAGAAACTAATGGCATGATCTAGAACTGCATCGGAATGTGTCAAAAATGTATATGAACATTGATGAGAGGTTTATATAATAATACGATGTTCAATAATAAACAAGAATAAAGAACGCAAAAAATATCAAAGAAATCATTCGTTAAAAAAACGAACCAATCATATTTGAATAGTTAAATTTTGTTATTATTGATATTGTTTTCTGTTTATTTTCACTTCTAGAAAATAAAAATAATCGTGTGTAATTCGTTTTAGAATGCCACGTAAAGTAAATCATAATTATGAACCACAAGAAACACAGGAATCACCAGAACTTGAACCCGAACGTATTCTTGTTCATAAATTAGTCGATTCAAGTAAAGCTCAACGAACAAAAGCTGTTGAACGACTTAAATTATGGATTAATGCTCGAACATTAAATCCAACAAGTTTTTTTTCATATGATGATTTAATTAAAATATGGAAAGGTCTCTATTATAATATGTGGATGGCCGATAAACCTGTTTTACAAGTATTATGATTTTTCTTTGTTTTTTTCTTTTGAATCTAAATATTTTTTTTTTATTATAAAGGATCAATTAGCTTTACAAATATCATCATGGATTCATGAATTTCGTGATAATGATCAAGCACGATTATATATCGATGCTGGTTTTGCTACATTTGCTCGGGAATGGTGGGGTATTGATCGATGGCGTTTAAGCAAATTTATGACCGTAAATTAAATTATCTAATTATTTTATTTCTTATTATAAAATGTTTTTTTTTTCAATAGTTTGTTCGTTATTTTCTACGTGAATCATTTGTATTTCTTAAAAATTTAAAATGGCTTAAACCAGATATTTTAAAATTTACAAAAATGCTTGCTCAAAATGTTCTTAGTCCTAATGGCAATCGAGCATGTGATGGTTCGTATAAAAAAAACACAAAATCAATAATTTAATTTAATATTTTTGTCAATTTATAGGTTTAAAATTACATATAACTGATATATACTTGGAAGAACTTGCTAAAGTGGGTGGTGTTGCATTAAAACCTAAAAGATTAATTCTTTTATTAGCACCATTTTTTAATATTATTAAAGCATCAGATTAGTAAATAGAAATATTTTATATATATATGATAATAAATTATAATTTTTAGTGATATATTAGTTAAACATGTTTACAAAAATCTATTCTTTCTAATCATTCAATATTCTGATGTTGGTATTGATCCTGAAGCAGAAGAAGAAATGGAAAATATTCAAGCATTTGGTCGACAAGCTATTGAAGAAGAAATGGAGTTGAATAATGCTGATAATGAAGAAGATGAAGATACTGCTTTACAAGTCAATATTTCATTTTAAAATTTTATATATAAACTATTATTTTATTTTAGTTTGATTATAAACTTCTTTCAGAAAAATTAATCAAAATAGCAAAAGTTGATAGTTGTAAACAGAGAAATCGTAAACAAATATATGAATTAGCTCGAAAGTAAATTGAATCGAAATATAAAAAAAAGAATATTTAAATAATTATATTTAGATTTGATGCACTTACACGTGGTGTATATCCATTATCTGATGAACGTTTACCCGAAGTTTTTGAATCAAATCGATTATCTTGTGATGTTGATATAAATGTAAGTATAGAAATTTTTCTTTTATGAAATAAATTATTATTTTTTACATTTAGTCTTTACGAGAATTACAAAAAGATTTAGGTGAATTAGGTCATAAGAAAAAGAGTGCAACACGTCCCGAAGAGATTGATCAACTGCTAGAAAAATATGATACAAAAAAGCGTCGAAAGAAACATCGTGGTAAAGGTGGTTCAAAAAAGAAGAAAGAAATGATCACTGAATAATTATGTTACACTTGATTTGTTTTTGTTATTCTGTTATATGTGTAACAATAAAATGATTATTCATGATTTATATATGCATATCATTTTATGATATACGATCGATCTTGTTTAGTTGAAAGGAGAAAATTGAACATTTATATGATATATTGAGTAATAATGTCATTGAACATGAATAAAATCTTCCTCTTTTTTTTCGATTCGAAAATAATATTCGAATAATTGAAGTAGACATATGTCAAATTGATTAATAATTCAATTCTGAACATGTCGTAAATGTATACGACAAGAAAATAATTCTTTTTTATGAAAAAAATATGATAGTTTTCGTATTCTCTAGAATTACGACTTATATTAGACTTAATTCATATTAAGATCTGACAATATGCTAATAATAATACGCGAATAATTTATTCTGGGAATAACTATTTCTTGAAAAACATATGAATGTCATATCTGTTGTCTATTTATATATACAGTGGTTTTGCAAAAAGACTTGGAACAATCTTCAGGGTGTGGGTGTGGGTATAGATAACTGATGAACAACCACCCACACCCTCAAGATATCGAATTTTAAAATTTATATTTATAGATCATGACTAGTGATGATCAATATAAAACAATAATATCATCAATTCCTGAATATTCTTTATTATTTTCCAAGTATTATATATTATCATCATTTCTTACTCGTTTTTTCTTATCAAATTATTCGTTAGAAACTCAATTAGAAATGTGGCAATATAAAATATTTATTGATGATAAACTTTCTCCGTATGAATTAGTTTCATCATTTTATAAACGTAGTCTTTATCTTCATTTAAATAATCTGGGAAAGATTTTAGATAGTCAACAAAAAAATAGTTTAAATAAATCAAGAGAATTTAAATGATTGTCTATCAATGGGTTGATATTCGTAAAAAAAACACTTTCCAAATATAATCGAATATCAACAACTTTTCTTCTTCATATTTCACCGTTACTTGTTAAACAATAGGATATCTTTTAGATTATTCATTTCTTTTATCAAATATTCTGTAAATCAACAAATAGCACTCTTCGATGAGTGCGATTAACCCACAACTGATTAGATTTTATCATTATATGTCACCTTTCAAGTCTGTTAAAGTAAAGCGCCATAAACAGCTCGGAGTCGGTGCCGCTACGGTCCGCTACTTCCGATTACTTGATCATGCGTACAATCCGATTACAATTTAAGTTAGTTCTTTATGTTTTGTTAGATATGTCTTTGAGGAGGAAACAAAATTTTAAAATAAGTATTTTCATATCAAATCATCACCAAAACGAATTCCACCAGGTTATATTTTTAAAGAAAACGTGCGCCAATTATTGATGCTGTTAGAACTATTTTAGTTAAATTTTGTTTTATAATATTTATATGAAATTGATAATAAACAGTTGATCAATCATCTTCACTTAATGATAAATGTTCCCAAACAATTCTAAATATAACTAAACTAAATTATTCAAAGCAGAATCTGCTATAAATGATTCAATTTCAACTATAAATTGAAGTTTTAATGATGGATGAAGTTTCTGAATAACTGACATAAAAAGGTCTTTTTTTGAGAAAAGTATATGGGTTTCTTTGATCAAATGTTTTATGAAAATATTTTTGAGCATTATTATAGATTAATATGGATAATTACACAACATAAATTAAATCAAATAATGTTCAGTAAAAAGAAATGCATGATTAACAAATTAGATAGAATGATCAACGCTGAATGAACGAAAATATACAATGACAACAACAAAATAGGAATAGGGAACTACAATATGAAATCTTTTTCCGGTGAAAAATAGTGTCTGTTAATATTTTTAGATTGAATCACACTCTTGTTTTTGTTAATTATGGTAGTTTTAGAGTAATTATTGAGCAATTGCTGCTATTGCGGCTGTTGGACCAGCTGTTGGACGAGTCATCATCAATGCTTGTGGACCAATAGCAGGGCGACGTCTTCGGCAGCATGGAAAACATATTTTAAATTTCATTCGAAGTTCAGGCAATGAGAGAGCACATATAAAAGGAGTGAGCGTTATAGCATAGTAACCAAAATAGTTGCTATCAGAATAGTAACTGATAGCTGCAATTTGTTTTAAGCCAGCCAAATAAGCAACATATAAGAAAATTGGTGGACAGTACAGAACGATATAGAGGAAAGATATTGATAATAATTGGATGGCCATTTTTCTGTAATTACGCCATTGAATTCGTTGACGAGCGCGGCATTTGCTAACCAGTACACGTATAATAAGAGCCACACTGAATATTACAATGATAAATGGAGAAATCAAGTAATTCACTATGGCATCATACAATGCGACTGATGGATTAACAGTGACACAAGAATAATAACCACAATATGCTTTTGTGTAATCCATTGTAATAGAACAAGGTACAATGAAGTACATAGTAATATAAAATACGCCAGGAATCATCATGCAAATGACCAACGGAAGATAATGAAAAAAAAATCGCTTTGTTTTTGTACGAACCAAATTTGCATGAAAGATAAGAATATGACGTTCAATCGATGCCCAAGCCACCAGATTTATTACTCCTGGAAACCCAATGGAACGAATGGACACCCAGGCAAGACAAAAAGCTTTTGTGGATACTAATTCAGTACCGGTACGCGTGATGTAAGTGAGCGCCGTAACATCGAAAAATTGCAAGATAAGACCAACAGAGACCATGGCAATAATAACATGATTGTTAAGTGCATTTCGAAGTGCTCGATCCATGAGCAAGTAATAGAGAATAACGACACCGAATAGAATAGATGGAATTTGAAAACCTTGATAGAGCCAAGACCGAACAATATTAGGGATTGCCATTGAAACTATTATGTGCGTCTGATAATGTCTGAAGAGAGATGATAGAGAACGAATTAATGATTCAGTCAACTAAATTTGTTCTTTATGCACAATGTACAAGATATAGAGTTAGAATATCTATTCGTGTCATCCTTTCCAACTTTCCAAATCTATGCAATTTGATTTTCTAGTTTTTCAAATATCTAAGTAGTTCGGCTTATAATATAAACGGAGCGCGAAAAGAAAATGATAGCAGTTATGTTTTAAAAATAATAAAATAAAAGATTTTTTCTCTTTATCATTTACTATATGAAATTTCAGGGAAAACCTATATGTTGCGCATGACTGAAAGCAAAAGATACAGTTCATGTGAGTAAGTCAATTAAAATCTTTATTATCCGTTTGAAAAACAACATCTGAAATAATTGTGCTGTGATATAACTATATTGAAGTATTATACTAGGTATATGTACAAACTAGTTATGTTACTGAAAAGTCACAGTATGATTGTAGTTGCGCGATATAATTGGTTAAATCGACTGGTGTACTACACTATGCTATAATCTTAGGAATTGGTAGGAGTTCATGATAGATTTCATATGAGAAACATTGAGGAAAATTGCTTCTAAGAATCATAACTAACTTCAACAAACAAGCGTAGTCTTTCACAAGTCACGAAAAAACAGTATATTTATTTCCTTAGCGAAAAACAAACGACACACTTACTTTTTCGTTTAACACTTTATACTAGTGTCGTTTCATCTTATATTTATATTGCAAATTCTAAAGTTGCAGAGAATGTTCTCTTTTATGCTTATAACTGTCTTAACTGTGTGTGTAATACTCACAAGACTCTCCACAGTCTATAAAGCGTCGATAAAATAAAAAATAAAGTGCCATATCTAGTCGACATCCATCGTATTTATAAAGAATGATAAATTAAAAAAAAAACTTTTAATATGTTACTAACCTCCAGCAAAGACGTCATCCATCGCATTTCTAAGGAATGATAAATTTAGAAAAAACTTTTAATATATTGCTAACCTCCAGTAAAGATGTTATTTATCACATTTATAAAGAATGATAAGTCAAAAAGAACATTTAATATGTTGCTAACCTCCAGCAAAGACGTCATCTATTGCGTTTGTAAAAAAGGATCAAAAACTTGTTAAAGTGCATTTATATTATAAATAGAATTCAGTCTATCATGAATTTGTCCTCCTTATTTTAGGTGAAGCGTTTTTTTGTCAAAAGATAAAAGAATAAAAATATTCATTTAATGATCACGATTCATATGCTAGAAAAAGTCTATATTAAGGCAAATATGCTGAAAAATCGATCATTAAAGATAATAGTGAGTTTAACACAAATGATACTAGATGGCTTGTTTCGAGAACACTGTTATCTGTGCAGAGAAAATAATGGAAGGGGAATTTCATACTCATGAATATAGAAAAAGAAGAGCTATTTAGTAAACTGCTGCACATTTCAAAATGTAATTATCTGTCGTAAGTCTTAATCTCATATTACAGGAGAAAAGTTAGATGAGACAAAAAAAGAACAGAAGGAAATTGATTATAAAATAAAAGTAGAAGTACAACAATGACAAAATCTTGATAAACAAACACAATAACGTAGATTTGAACATATATGATAGCAATACTGATCGGTTTGGTATACTAGAGAAAAAAGTAACTCTTGTATCTTACCATAAATCTCTAGCTTTAGATAATATATTATCTTTATGGAGAGAGACACACATTATTAATATTTGTCGATATAAATATATTTTATTAGATAGAATGCAAGACGGATCTCAAGGTGACGGATATTCAATATTTTCTTTCTTTATTTTGTATTTTCCAAATTTATGGTGAAATTTCTCGGGGTATTCATATTATTATATAAACTGCTGTGATTAGATCTATATTTAGATAAGAAAAATTAGTTAAAGAATAATCCGATAACAACACTTGTTAATAAAAGGAAGACGAAAGAAGTATATCGTATACATAGAAGTTATTCGAATAAAATAGATACACTTGTGCAAGTTGAGAATTTCAAATCGTATGTGTTACTGATAGAAGTTGTGCACAGTGTTTTACCTACGGTTGTCATTAATGAAGTGCAGTTAACAAACATGACAAACATTCAGCAGTGTATTTCATTAGTAAGAGTAATTCTAACGACATGAATCAGATTACTTTAAAGCAGAAAATGAGAGAAGTGTTTGTTAATAGAAAAAGCTACTGAAAAGATGAATCGGCTTATCCTCAAACCATGACATAGATTGTGCAAAAAAATAATAATCAGAAGCCTGTGTCATCAATAAAAGTCGGTCAACGCATTGATCAAACATACTTAATGGATGGCACAATGTATTAAAAGCAAAACTAATTCAAAACTATTTTTTCAGTAAAACTTACTCAAAGCTTAAGTCGAGTTAAGGCAGAAGAAAACCGTTTAGAAAAAAATACATTGTCACAACAAAAGTCATTAAAACAGCTAATCGGTCTGTCTTCACCAGTAAATGAAAGAATAAGAGAACACAACAATGGATGAGGAAATTGTTGACTCTATAATAGAAAGTCATATACGGTAAAAAGAAATAGATTAAAAATAACTAATTAAACTTCTCACGTCGTCTCATGCTACCATCAGAAAAGGAAACAAATGATATAAATATAAATAGTTCATTTCTGTTAGAAACAGTCTTCAATTTGAGAAAAAGAAATCAGCGCTATATCTGTTTGGAACATTTCCCATTTTCTTGAAAACTATGCATTCCTCGTTAAGAAAATTTATAATTACCACAGATGGTCATCAAGATGAATAAGTAAACTCATCGACGTCTCTCGAAGTCTTCTGGACTTCTGATTGAGAGTATACAAATCGTTGGAGCATATATCCTTCAAAATAAGTTATATGTTCTTCCCAAATGTATCTGAAATTCTCTTCTGTTGGTTTTAGGAAAGCATTTTTGTTCGACTTTGTGTGAGGTTGGTATGGACAATATCTCCTCAATTGGATCCAGTCTCACTTTTTTAAAGAATAAATCATCTTTTCAAATTTTAATCATTTCTTGAAGATAAGTGTTTTTCTGCACATTAATTCAAATGGTTTATTGTGTGATGTGGGTGATGTAACATATGTATAACTTTTGCTCTTGTAATCCGTCGAGCATTTTGAAGGTGTGGGTGAGTGTAAAGAGAAGAGACACATATCCACAATATTACATAAGCAAAATTTCTGATACTCTTGAGTTTCCTCTCACTCTTTTGAATTTTTACTTTAAATACATACACGAGCTAACTATGTGAACTGAAAAAATACAAACAGAACACGTGTATTTCACATGTATAAATGAAAATAAATATCAAAGAAGTTCAAAAGATAGAGAACAGAGAAGAAAAACAACGAAGAGAAGAGAAATGTGATATAGGAGACAATATAGCATATTGTTTTTAACATAGATCAGATTATGATGAAAACTATTCATTTGTTTTTAAATGAATAAAGAATATTTTCGTTTCTATATTAAAGTACGTACTACACTTTATATCGAACCGATAGTTATTTATAATGAATTAAGTGCTGTATTTGGTGATGAAGGTCCTCCTCTTGGAACTTTTCAACAATGGTTAAAATGGTTTCATGACGGTCGAGAAGATGTTGAATATGAAGAAAGGGTGTGTGTAGGTGTGGATTCATCTTTTATTTAGCCACATTCACACCCACCCCCACCCCATCTCCTTATTTCCGTGTAAAAACTTTTTTGATGTAATGGTAGAGAAATTGATACTGTATTTTCCTGTGCTATTTCATCTCGATTCAATTAATATCATGATTATAAAACTTTGAAAAGAAAAAAGAAAATATGTTTCTTACGTTAGAACAAATTATAACTACATGAGCACCCATATTTTTCAAGTAGATTATGATTGAAGCAAGATTGATTACTATTGCTTTTACTGTTCGAAAGAGGGGCCGGATACATATTGAACCATCTTAAGGGTGTGAGTATGAGATGAATACGCTACTGATACTCTCACCCACCCATTCTGTTCTACGATGTTGAACATTTGGGAATAGGCTGACTGCTCATTTTATGAAATATTCTTACTAATAACTACTGTTTTCAATATTAAAAATTTAATTTTTTTATTACACTTTTTCTAGAACAAATATTTCTGTTTGTTATATTATATGGTGTGTAAAAAATGAGTGTTAATTATACATTGAGAATGCTATATTCGAATGATTATGATATCATGCAAGATAATCGATAGTTAGTATATTAATAGAAAATATATTTATAGCGTTCAATTAAACGATATATAAATATAGATAAAGAGAGAAGAGCATGCACGTATTGATATTATTTCTAAAACTTAATTTTAATTGGGTACTATTTATTTGCTAAGTAAAATGTATATTTTTTCAGTAAATAATTTAAATCTAAGTAGAATAATTAGATGCTAAGTTGAAGTATTAATATTCCAGTAAATTATTTTTTCGCTAAGTTAATAAATAAAAATCATAGTAAAAAACTACATATGATCGGTAAAAAAATTCATTATCAAGTAATTTATTATAAAGACAAAGTAATTCTAAAATGTCAAATTAAAAGTTTCCATACTTCTATGATGACGTCTATATTTTCCCGCACTCACACCCATATATCATATATAGGGTGATTCATCATCTTCGTCTTGAGGGGTGGGCGTGGGTGTGAACGCTGATGCGGCATCGAAAATGAATGAGAAGAAGACAAACATTTGCGCCCACACTACACACTCACTCTCAAATTGTTCAAGTTTCATCAAAGAATATATTTCCAATGATATAGTTGGCATGTCAATTAGAATGAAATTCTGTAAACTATCAGCAGCAGCAAAGAATATACGTTTAGGAGAAAAAAGAAAAAAAAGAGGCCGACTAGAGGTGTAAGCCGATGAGTTGATCGGCGGCGGCGGCTGGAAAATTTATAAAAATAAATATTTTTTTCAAATTGAAAAATATCTTTATTTCAATATCTCAGCCATGATCTGTTCCAAAAGAAGTATGGGTAACAACTATTACACTCTTTCATATTGTATGTACAAGACAAAATGCAAAAATCAAACTGAGATCGGCAGAGAATCATTAACAATATTGCAAGTTAAATAAAGATCAATATAAAAGAACGAAAATTTGATTTTCACTCAGACTGATGTCAGCGGCGGCGGTTTAACCGATCAGCTTACACCTCTAAGGACGATCAAAAAAGCAACAAAAAGCTTTATTGATACAATAACTGTGTAATTAAATTTTTCACTTAGTTATTTACCAATCTTTACAGAGCAAAATTCATATAGTTACTTATCAGTATATAATAGTTTATATAGAAAATTACATTTTTTCATTTAGATTTCAAATAAAATCCTGAGCAAAAAATTTTTTTTACTTAGAATTCTCTTGAATAAATTACTTAGAAAAAATTGAACTTTTTACTTCGCATTTATTTAAAACTACTTTGCATTTAAATATGAGTCATTTTAATTTAATTTTGATAATACTGTTTAGGGACATTATTAAGGAATATATGAAGGAGTATTGAGTGAATTGTTCTATTCAATTCAGGTTGATATACCTTAATTAGTAATGATTCCTTAATAAGAAAGTTATTATTGTCACTTTCTGTACATACTGCTTGACTATTGAGCTGATATTTTCCCTTTCTTTTCATCCGATATATCTTTCTGGTGGTTATGTTCATCATCCTTATTCGTTGTGTTAATGTTCTTATCAATCATTTTATGTTCCTGTTATTTAACTATTAAGCCATCGTGTTTCCTTATAAGGTGAGGATGTGAATTACTGTTTTCTGTCCATCTCGCGTCTACTCACATTTACACTCTCAAAGAAGATGACAAAATTTCATGTCCACCAGCTATCACCATCTAACTATCCCACTATCAACAATAGAAAAAAGAAAAACAGAAAGAACTAGACCTCCACTTGAAGCAAGTTCAAGTAGGAGAAAGGCGGCTGACTGCAGAAGTGTAACAACCCTCATAAACGTGGAAAGCTGAACCATTTAAAATTTTGTTTTATTCTCGAAATAGATTAATTAAACTCAGATAGACAAGCTATCGAACAATTACTTTTCATAGACTAGACTCTATCATGATGAATTTAAGTCACAAGAAACGATAATTAAAATGTATATGCATATACAATCTCATTTATCAATGCTCGCGTAATACTGAGTCATACATAACCATATAACGAAATCATCATATGTTAATTAATGGTTTTTTTGAAATTATGTATCTCCCGAACGAAACCGAATTTCAAAAAACGGTTTTCAGATGTGCACTCAGCACGTTCTCACGAATACGGCAAGCTTTTTTTTGATTGAAAATGTTGTTTAAATGCTTAGAACGAGTGGCGAACTTGAATCGTGACTCATCTGTCGAGAAGGAGAAGAAGAAGAAGAAGAAGAAGAAGAATATCAAAAGCAATAAGTCGACTGGCTGCACATACGTGCAGTCAGCCGCCTTAACTATAACAATAAGATAAATATTCTAGTTTTCATTTCCATCAATAAATAATCTGATAATTGATGCTTCTACCTACCTAGACGTCACAAATATGAAATAAATTATTTCACGAAGAGTATTTAAAACAAATCTAATTATAAAATGTTTTTCTATAATGGCCTACAATATAATATAATTTTATCTTCCGAAAGCATTATATTTATATTATTTCTCAAAAAAGAAGTCAAATTTTTTATTCGTGCAGAATATTTTAAATTATAGAAAGTTTTTTACATAATTAATGTAAAAACTGAAGCCTATCTAATTACTGTCTATCATTGAAGCGAATAGTGCATTTGAAGCTTGTAAAAATATATATTCTTGTTTTTTTCTGTCTTTCGAAAATATACTGAAGAACTTTCCTGTTTTTTGTATCAAAAAAGATATGAACTTAACAATCATAGATAATCAGTTTTGGTTTATTCCCCTTGGTATTATCAATATCATATGTCTTACTTTCGTAATAATACTCGCTACAATATTTATATATCTTGTTGCAATACATAAAACATGTCACACAGTTTCTATGATACTAATTGTCAACTCATGTTTTAGTGAACTTCTATTAGCAAGTCGTATGTTTTCGATAACTATCGTTGAACTTCTAAATGATCTTAGACACATTCAATATCAAGAGTCATTTTGTATTTTTCGATCTTACATTGGTTATGTTTTCTGTGCTGGACAATTTTATTCTTATTTATTACAAGCAAACTATCGTTATATGACTGTAGTTTACCCAACTCGTTTATCATGGCAATCAAAACGAGTTCAAGTTTTTCTTATCGGTTTATCATGGATATTTGCCTTTATATGCACTATTCCACACATGCTTACTAGTGAAATACAATACTACATCGACGATCAGTTATGTGAATTACCACTTCATCTTTCTTTTATATCGATCTATAATATAGTTTGTATATATTTAATACCTATGAATGGTATAATATTTATTTATTTTAAATTAATTCGATATGTCAAAGAGATTAATAGACGTGTAACACCAGCTAATGTTTTATCTCGTGCAAAAAGAGAATTGCAAATGGTTAAACGAATAGTTGTACTTATATCTATAGAACTAACTCTTGGCATACCTTATACAATCTTTCTTGTTATGGGATTTATTAATCAACCACCAAAATATTCTCTTCGTATTGCTTTTACATTTGTTGATGTTTCATTAGTATTTATTATGATTACTCTATTTCAATTTACTGATCCAATTAAAACAATTTTAATGAAAAAATTCAATCGACAATCAAATACTGATGCATTAGCAGTAACATAAATTATGCAGAATGTACTTGATATTTTTTTGTATTCCTTTTGTATAAACTCAAAGTTTATTAAGTGTTATCTTCAATATTATTGTGAAATAAAGTGCAGTTCAAAATAATATACTGGCCAGATTTTCAGATTACAATAAGTGACGGTCGACTGAGAATTCTGTAATTATTTTTGCCATGTCATATACTAAAAGTATATTTTCTTCGTTGATTCCAAAGTCAAAATCTCATTAGTTTACTATCAAGAAAAATATTTTTCTAAAATAATGCGACACTTTGCGTTCTGTTGGATTAAATAAGCTAGAAGAAAGAAATATCATACTTGGATTTTTCAACTGATAAAATATTTAGTTCTACTATCTGTCTTCAAACAGCAAATGATAATCATGAGTGAAAGCCATAAATAAACTGTTGTTGAAGCCATCAACCACCAGATTCTAAGTTGATCAAATGGATTCAATTTATAATAGAAGATCAAATATTTATTGAGCAACAAATTCTTTTTTTCCTCTCTTTTCAGTGGGTAGTGCGTATTTTTTTCCCAGAATTTATTTGATCAATCTAACGAAAAAACAGTCCTGATATCTTTTTCCTAGAATTCATTTCATCAATCGAATGCAAAAAGTCCCGACGTCTTTTTTCCAGAATTCATTTCATCAATTCAATCAACAAAAGTAGCCAGGACTCTTTTTATTTTCAAAAAAAATTTATCTATTCGGAGAGATGATTTTCCTAGGTGTTTAAATGTTATTTGAGAACAAATATATTTATCAATAGCGCTTCTGAATTATATGAAAGATGAAATACATAAAGAACTATTTAATCTAACAAAATTGATTTTGAAAAGAAAATATAATCAACATTTAGTTGAAGATAAAGTTTTCTATAAAAATCAAAATAATTTAATTGAAATTTATTTATATATTCAAATTTGAAAACGTTAAAGGTATCCTATACTCTATGCAGTATATTAGTGGACTGTCACATCATTTATATAGGATAAAGCCAATCTTTAATAGCTAAACGAAGAATAATTAGATGAATTGTTTGATTAGACAAAAAAAAACTGAACACTTCTTCAAAATCAAACACATTCGGCTTAAGTTTCTATAACATAAAGTATAAAAACATTTCAAAAACATCTCATTTTGTTATTCTTCTATTTTTGATTGATTATAATTTGTAATTCAATAGATAATCACATTTTTCTTCATCAATCTGAAAACAATCCAAACAGTTATGATTCATATCTATGTATAATAGTTTTAACACCCTATTTATTAAATAAATTAAAACAAACACCATTTTTACTGTTCTAAAGTTAGTTAAATATTGATTTATCATAAAAACACATTCTAATGTCCTTTTTTCTTCAATAAAAAATAATTTCTCAAGTAAATGTTTCTCTTATGTTTTTTATTTATTGTATATTGCTATGATGTTTTATGTACACAGAACAAGAAACGAAGAGCTTGTAAAACCATATAGGCTCTATTGTAAACATAATAATATAGACTATGTTGTTTCACAAAAAGAGAATTGTATCTGAATAAAACGATGATGGAAGCAAAAAGTTTAGAAACAGAGTATTTTTGATTTTTTCC